CATAACTTCTACTTGCGTTTCCGTCCATCATCAGATATCTACCACTACTGGTACTGACAGAGATGCCCATCTCCCCCTCCCCCAAGGTCGATGGCGCAAGAACCTATCTCCCCACTCCTAAGGTATTTTATTGTTCACCTTTTCTTAAAAACAGAGCAAACGAAGGTATAATTAGAAAAATCGATGTTCATATACAATTATACTTACTGGGATCTGTTCCATGTTTCCCCCTCGTCCGTTAGAATGAAATTTTTAATTTATAAAACTAATAGCCCCCGCCGAAATGTATCCCCTTCAAAAACCCGCCAAAATATGTCACCCACAAACCTCCTTTTGGGCACCGTTGGGTTTTGCTACTAGTATTGATGGGGTGAAATTTATGGATTTGTCCGCCATCAGCCGTACGTCGTCCGTCGTGCGCCCTCCACCGTCCGCGGCTTCTGGGAGACTGCTAGACCGATTTTTCTTAAATTTGGAATCAAAGACAGAATTCAAACGAGAATGATCCTCCTACCTCTACACAACTATCCGCCCTTTCCCTCCAAGATGGCGGCCGAAAAAACTGTGTTGGTATAGACTATAGCGCCTAAACGAATGTACCATTTTCAATTAAACTTGTCTAAACTCTTCCACTCGATGACCTTTAAATTTACCTATACAACGAAAAAAATCTTTAAAAAAAGTTAAGATGGATGGTAAAACTAGATTTTCGAATAACTCAAGAAGTATACATTTCTTTGGATTTTTCGTGATTGGGTATCTTAAAGGTATTTCAATTTTCTAAAGAAAAAAAAAAGTTTCGTCGGAATCAGAGCATTATTAGTACAGATATCACTTTTTTTAAAAATGTTTTTGGTTTATTACTTTCAATTCAACCAAACTTTGACAAACAATTCAACAAATTTTGATAGTCCAAAAGATTCAAAAAATTAATTCTTCCTCAAAATTTGAGATTTTAAGTTTCGCGATACGTAGAATTCGAAAATAAAATAAAAAAAAATTATGTCCGTCCGCCATCAGCCATATGCCGTCCTCCGCCGTCCGCGGCTTTTCTTCGAGACTACTGCACAGATGTTTCTTAAATTTGGAATGAAATTCTGAGGTCACCCCAGGATGATCCTCCTATCTCGACACTACTATTCGCCCTTTCCCTCCAAGATGGCGTCCGAAAAATCTGTGTTGGTATAGACTGTAAACGAATGTACCAATTTCAATAGTTAACGAATCGGAGGCAGTGGAGACTTTATAAATAATGGTTTTATTCATAATGTTACAAATGGCATCTAAAATACAGAATAATATACTATGGATATATGAGTTGACTACATAAGTTCACTCCAGGTCTCCTGCATTAAGAGGCATCAAGAGAATAAACTACATGAGTGATTTGGTCTTAGAAGGATGGGGGTTATATGCTCAGGAATAGTAGGGGGGATGAATCAATTCTGCTCCGTCTAGGAAGAGTGTGAATGAAGTTATAACTATTAAGAATTGATATCCTTATCTTTTAGAATTGATATGAAGTCTGTGAGAAAGTACCCTTTAGCTGAAATCAGCCCAATACTATTTTAATGAAGAAAATACGCATCTATTATTAAAAACAGCTTAATTTAACATTGATAAATGAATTTAATCAAAGATTGAGGTAATTTTAAATATGTGTAAAATCGGCAAGATTACGTACCTCTTCCACAATGGTGTACCATTTTCATATCACCAATTTACAAATAATTTTAATAATGTGATTTGTTACAGTATGGTGCTTTTTCTTAAGGTCTTTTTCTGTGACTTTGTTACATTTTAAGGCTTTTAATTGTTATTACTAATGCTTTAAGTGTTGTTTACAATGTTTTAAGTTAACAATAAAGTGATGGGACTCATCCATTTTTTGTGATTCTTTTTTTTTATTCTTATTTATTATTTTTGTTGTATCAATAAATTTTCCTATGCTGCTTAGATCCCTCTTGGTCATTTAACGAGAGAACGAGAATCAATATTCAATCAAATTTCCGAAAAACCAAGCATTTTAAACAAAAAATCGTTGCAATCCGTCAAAATGCAATTTTAAAATTATGATATTTTTACACGTTTTTCCCACTTTTCCGACCTTATTTTTCAACCTTCATTTTATTGGGTATAGCATATATCGGATCCTGGATTAAATTTTGGGGGACTTGACCCCGAAAGATTTTTTTTTAAAATATATTTAACTAATTTGGATTATTCTGCTAATTTGAATTACTTTAGTAATTTACTTAACTGGATTATTACTTTAAAAGATACAAAAGTGATTTTTGAAGTCCTATTAAATGTATAATTTTTTCATATAATTAATATTTTTTTCATAAGACATGGTATATTTTACCATTTTTTGGGAAAGAGAAGCTTCAATCCGAAATATCCCTGTAGATTCACCTGTGGCATATATATACAAAATCTTCTAATGTGTTTAGTGGTAAGTAGTAGACTGATCGATTATAAGGATGAAAAAAAATTATCAGGAATTTCAGTCAAATTGTTTTTATTGGGTTAGGCGACGTTTTGACCCAGGCATGTGGGTTTTCCCTCAGAGCTAAAAATTACAAAATATAAAATAACATCAGTAAAATAATAAATATAAAATTGTAAAAGTGATGTAAAGGTAAAATTTGTAAGGATAATAAGAGTGCAGAATAACAATAACATAAGAAACATGAAATTGTGTTTAAGTGATTCTTGAACTCCTATCAAATGTAATTACACGAACAATAATACTTTAAGAGATCATTTTTTTTCCCATAAAATATGTTATCATTTTTTGGGGGGGGGGAGAGGGGAAGGCTTTAGCCATTTTAAAAGTTTCTCTTTTCCTCCTACTCTTTAAAAAAAAAAAAAGAATAATTAAAACTGACAATCAATCAATAGTTTTTTTTTTTTAATTTTGTGTTTTCTATGACTTCCTTTTCTAGTGTTTCCTTTAACAATACCCCACTTAGCCCTGCTGAGCAAATCCGCTACCTAGGACTCCCCTGGATAAACATCTAACTTGGAATCCTTATACCAGACTGAAACGACAAGAAACCGCTCGATTTTTATGATTACTTCAGCACTTACTAGATAAACGCTCTAAACTTCCAATTAATTACAAAAGAATCATATACATGACTATAATAAGGCCTATTTGGACTTAGGGAGTTGAGCTATGGGGCTCCACTAAGCCATAAAATTCCTCTCGTATCCAATCTTTACAATCCAAAATCCTTAATGCTCCCTGCTTTGTTACAAATAAAACCATCCATAATGACCTTATGTTTCTAATGCTTCAGATCTGACCCAACCCAGATACCTATCCTTCCATAATAAACTTCAGAATCATCCCAATCCTCTCGTTTCTAACCTTGCTTCCTTTTCAATTCCTGATATTTCTCCGAGGCATCTGAAAAAAAGGTGGCCCCGTGATCTCCTAATGTAGACATATCATTAGAGTGCTACCATCTCAACAAGTGTTTTCAAGTAATTATATCCATATATTCAAATTTACTAAATGCATTTTTTAGTACAGTTGTAAATATCATTAAGAAATAAAAAAATAAATATTTGGTGTATCATTTTAAAAATTTCCTATTTTCATTTTAGATATCAGTTACGCACTGAAGAAATGATAATTGAAATATAAAAGTAAATAGTGGATAAGTGATGATGTAAACAGTTGGAATAAGAAAATATTAATATCTTTCCTAATAATCATGAATTTTGCACTCTTCAATGATATATTTTATAATAAAAATACATTTTTTTTAATTATCTTGTCCTTGATTATTGGTTTTTGGAAATCCCTTTAAAATTTGTACAGAGTTACGATGGTGAAAAAATATTTATATAATGGAAAAATAATAAAAATTTGAAATACTTTTGATGCTTGGTGTCTTCTTTAAATCAAATTATCATCTTGCTATTCCTCAAAGAAAGTTGAGAGCAAAATAGTACTTGCAAGATAAAAACACACAGCAAATTTTAATAGTATGCTTAAAAACATTGAATGTAATTATATTCACAATTTTTCATCAGTACATACAACATAAATACAGACAAAAATAAATAATAAAATATTAATTGTGCAATAAAACTGAAATCAGCTTAATTCAATAATTCTTTTAAACAAATTTTCTTTTGATAATTGTATATCCAAGATTATTTCAATAATACAAAGTGGGTATCTGAAGTTTTTGAAACTTTTTAAATTTCAGAAAAGGAAATATTTCTTCCTCCAGTTTTCATTAGCAAGAATTTGCAGAAATAAAATATCACTTATGTCAAGAAATGTTTATTACTTTATAGGATTAAAATGATGTTACATAACCTGCCAGCTATTAGAATTAAGTCATATTTTAAAATATAAACTAAATAGTTAGTTTCTATTTTTGTAAATAATTGTTAAAAAAAAGAAGTAGTAACTTTTTGAAAAAATCACTACTATAATATTGAATTTATCTTCTGAGGTATATCTTTACATACAGAAGTTTCTGATGAATTTCCTATCTATGAAAAGTAAAATAAGAAGAAGTAAGTCAATAAATATATTTTAAAATATTAATAAATAGTGACTGATTGAAAGTTAGTTAAAAAAAGAAAAAATACTTTGAAACTTTTGTATTCATTAACTTTATTTTGCTTAAAAAAATTAAGTTAAATACATAATTGTTTTTTATATTATGATAAACGAAGGCTTAATTATGACATTTATTTAAAGAAAGGGATGAGAAAATACTACAGGTTCTGCCTCAATAATTGAAAACAAATATAATTTTAATATAAATATCTTTTTAATGGGAGAGAAAAGAAAGAAATGATTTTTACAGTAGATATTTGTTAATAGAATTCTATTACTTTAATTGTAATATATTTTAGAGCATGCAGTAAATGCAATGTTTATTTTAAAGTAATTATCAAAATTTACTAAAATTACAACCAGTACTAGGAATAATTAAAAGTATTCACTTTTTTTTTTTTTTTTATCTTAGGGAGCATAGACAGGGCTTTTTGCCCAGGTGCAAGCGAAAAAGCAAAAGAAACATTCACAGAAAACGTAAGAGAAAGCGATAGCAGAACACCAGAAGAATCAAATTATTATGGTAAAGTAATAGATTTATAATTTTATACATAACTCCAAACATTTATTCAAGTTTAACTCTATTAATGTTAATTAATGTTGTAGTGTTAAACAACTTTATATTGATTGGCTAATATTTTTTTTATTTTTTTTTTTATAATAGGAGCAAAACATATAATGTAAACTTAAATGAAAGTAAAAATTAATTGGTTTTAACTGTTTTAATTTTACTCATTTTTTCTGATATTAGAGAGTATTATTTAGAGTAAAATCTGAGTTTTACTTCCAGGGGTCTAATGTCTTTGACAAAGGTATTAAGGTCTGGAAAAGTTCCCTTAGTCTTAAGTTGATAAATGATTAACTATTTGGAAATAGAAGTGTTCGTTTGATCTCTGAATGTAAAAGTTTATGATATGAATCAAATATTAAATGCTGTATTTTCATGTTATCTTAGAATAAAGTACTAATTTATAAAAATAAAAAAAACTGGAAATTCAAACCAACAAAAAATAGAAAATAATTTGTTTTATGATTTTCCAAAGTATTTTAACTCAAAAAGAAATTTTAAACTGATAATTATTGTAGACAAAGTTCTTAATTTAAATAAGCTGATATATACCTTTAAGTTAAGAGTTACATTTAGATAATTTTAAAGTAATTTATTTTTTAAATTATCTGTATAAGCTAAAATTGTACAATAATGGCAATAGGTGAGGAAGAAATGAAGATGACTCGCATTGTTGGAGTAGCTCTAGAGAGAGGTGATATGGGTCTCGGAATAACTCTCAGATCGGGACCTCCAAATCAGGCTGGCTATCGACCACTTGTTATAACAAAAATTAAACCCAATGGACCAGCTGACCGGTAAGTTTAACTGTATTCATATAACCATTATTAAATATAAGAAATGCATTACATTGCTGGAATTTAATTCCAAGCCTGTTTAAATGATTATTTTACTGTTTTATTGATCTATATGTTAATGTAACACTATAAAAGGGGAAAACTTTGATTCACATACTAGATACTTGCTGGCCAGAACCATTATTTATTTCAGTCTATTTAATAAATTCCATAATTATTTGTAATTAACTAAACATCATATAATGGATAACCATTTTTCTTCTTGTTTTTGTTGGTCTTTTATCTTCTAATTATACTGTGTACTATTTATTGTACCATAAATTCACTCGATCAATTACTAAAATTCATTTATTTATTACTTTAATTTGAAAATGTACAGTTTTTTAAAGTAAGAAGTGCATGAACAATATAAAATTAGTAACTAATAAAAATTAAATTGAAAATATTCCTTACTTCCTTACTAAGCTTTATTCAAATAGCATTTTTGGTTTTAACACTTTCATCACAAACCAATAAAGAAGTTCCAAGCATTCTTCAATAATGTATCACATATTGCTGCTGTTAGTGCAAAAGCTCGCATGAAACAATTTTACATGTTTATTCTCTTTGCGCTAAAGTTGATATTTTGTAACTACTATAAGTAGGCTAATACCATCTAGCTAAAGCCTTGTAATAATAAAAAAAAAAACTGCTATAAGTAGTCAGCTAAACAGGAATGTAGCAATGGGAAACAAAGTATGATATACTAATAAATCATTTTAAAAAAAATCGATTTTTATAAAAACTCAATTTTCATAAATTGAAAAACTCAATTTTCACATACGACTTTTTATACTAACACTAGTGATATGTCTAAAAGCCGAAACACTATTTCAGATTTCCTATTTATTATATATGGTATTTATATAGTATCTTAATGGAATAATGATTTTATCTTTATGCTATTTTATTTTTTTCTTATTTCTGTGTATTATAATGATATTACTTTATTTATTTATGTTTTCTGTAAATATGGTGTGAATGTGCTTTCTGATCTCTATTATAAATGCCCTTAATTAAGACATAATGTAATATTTCACAATAGACATGTTAAAAAAAAAAAAATACTAATATTGAAATGAATACATTCTGCTCATTTATTTTGACATATTTTACATAAGTCATTTTAATTATTGTATTATCATTATTTTATTAATGGTTATTTATTCAGTTTTAGTTTACCCATATCGAGAATGAGAATTGGTTATCTCAAAAAATAAAAAATATTATCAGCATGTCTTTAAAGTTTTTAACCTCTACAATTATTAAGTTATTTTTATAATGTTTCAGAGATGGCACAATCAAAGTTGGAGACAGATTGTTAGGAATAGATGGACAAAGGCTAACTGGTTTAACGTTATCAGAAGCTGAAAGATTACTTGTAGCTCCGAATGGAGGGCGTCCTGTTTGGTTAAGTGTAGAATATGACATTTCAATTATGACTGCTATGCGAGCAGCTGGTCCTTTACTAGTTGAAATAGAATCACCATCTGGAAAAACTGATCTTGGTCTCACACTAATGGATTCCATTTCTGGAGTTATAGTATCAAGTGTAAGGACTGCCAGCATAGCAGAAAGGTCAATGCGTATCTTTGTAATGTTTAATAAAATATTTCTGTTTTTTCATTATAAAAAGAAGAGTAGCAGACCTTGATTTTACAATGAAACAATTATTTTGTTGGGGATCAAGCAATAGCTTATACAAATTTAAAATCCACTGAAAATCCACAATAACATTTTTACTAACAAAGCCAACATTTTTAATAAAACTTGTTTGCCAACATCAGGCCACTTGGTTTTTTCTTAGAAGAATCCATAAGATACATATGAAAAAAAAAATACAAAGTGGAAAATTCTTAAAATTAAATTATAACCTCAAAACAAGATACAGACTGAATCTAAGTCCCTAAATTCTTAAACCTATTAAATCATACAAAATAACACTAGACATTCTCTAGGATAGGAGTTCCCAAACAGTTGTACCCATACCAGTGGGGTCTAAACTTCTCAGGTCGTACTTAGATAAGCTAAAAAACACATAGATAAAAATATATTTTTAATACAATCAATGAGAGACTTTTTAAATTATTATTATTATTGAATGTATATGTATCTATCTATAGAAGAACAAACACAATTTACAATCAATAAAATAACCATAAATCGTTAGGATAGTAATGCTTTTTGGGAACAGGGAGGCCAAATAGGCTAAAGTGTTTTCAGTTTTTGTGATTTTTGGTTAAAAAATCTATGACTCCAACCTAGGTGAAAATTTATAGCAAAAGATTTCTTTTTTGAGATAGTAAAAATGAATATCAATTTTTTTTTTATAACAATATTTACACTCACATTGCTATGTCAGTCCAATTTATCTGTAGTATGATCACAATATTGAAACAACTAACATTTAATTTTTAATATTAATCTGTTTATTTTCTTCAAGATTTTTTTTTTTTTTTTTTTTTTTTTTTATTTCAATGGAATTTACAACTGTATTACATAGAGAATACAATAAGTAAATGAGAAATTTGTAACATGGCATGTACAACATGAAGAGAAACTACCCATTGGTAGAACTCAAATTAAAGTTCTATATTAGAAGATCCCGAGGCCATCTTCTTTTCAGACGCCTCGGAGGATTATCAGGGATCGAGGATGAAGCAAGGTTTGAAACGAGAGGATTCGGATGATTCTGCAGTTTGTTATGGAAGGAAAGGTATCTGGATTGGGCCAGATCGGAAACATATGGAACATTAAGGTCTTTATGGATGATTTTATTTGTGACAAAGTAAGGAGCGTTGAGGATTTTACGAAGGATTTTGGATTGTAAGGATTGGATACGAGAGGAATTCGATGGTTTAGTGGAGCCCCAAAGCTCAATTCCGTAAGTCCAAATAGGTCTTATTATTGTCATATATACGAGTCGTTTATAATTGATTGAAAGCTTAGATCGTTTGTCTAGTAAGTGCTGCAGTAGTCGAAAACGTCGGGCGGTTTCTAGTCGTTTCAGTCTGGTATGGGGGTTCCAAGTGAGTCGTTTGTCAAGGTGGAGTCCTAAGTAGCGGATTTGCTCAACAGGAATAAGTGGAGTATTATTGAAGGATACTGTAGGACAAGAGGTCATAGGTTTACGACGGAGGGTAAAAGTGATTTGATGGGATTTGTTGGAATTTATTTTTATTCTCCAATTTTTACACCATTCTTCAAGGCTTGTGATATGTGATTGAAGAGTTTGGGATGCAATTAAAGGATCGTTATTAACTGATAGGATACACGTGTCATCTTTCTTCAAGATAAAATGATTATTTCACTTAATTATTATGAATTATTTTGTAGATAGTAATATTGTTCGATCAAATTCAATAATTGTGCATTTTTTATACTTCTTTGTATGTAAGAATATTAGAGGAGACATACTCAGTGATTTGTCAGGAGACTGGTTACAAGGCGAGTCACTTAAGAAAACTGGACATAGAGAGTGGTCATAATGCCAAAAACACAAGCCACTTTATAGCAGTGAGACCATTCCCTTTGTCCTCTTTTTCTTATTTAACTCATGAGCTGACACATCACTAGCTAGTTGCTCTTGATGCATCCCTGGCCTAAGTGATTAAGTTTATATTTTATAATGAACAGATTACTAAAAAAGCAAAATGGAAAAGACATCAAATAAACTTATAAAATTCTGTTTCTACACTTTCAGATGTGGTGCTGTCCTACCAGGAGATCAAATTTTAGCTGTTAATGAATACAGAATAGAAAAATTAAAAATTTCTGCTGCTAAAGTAATGCAAATATTGGCTAATACCGAATGTAAACTATTTCAAATAGAAATTCTTCCAGTTGCTGCTGTTAGCTTAGGTAAACAGTTTTGCAGTAAAAGTACTTAATTTAAAATAAATTATCTGGCATTATTTATTGATGTTGTGATATGAAGTAAGGATTATGGAAGGGCTTAATATGCTGTTATTTTTAAATAATAATATAAAAGACATTTTTTTTTTTTTTAAGGAGATATAGATATCCATCTCAACTCTTCAATGAATAGTGTTTCACAAGAGTGTCATGACTTCAATGATAATTTAGACAACTTTCATTATAACCATTTAGGAAAGCAAATTTTAGAAGGTAGGCAATGATTCAACACAAATGTAGTGATCAAAGTGCTACTTATAACTTGGTAGTTTCTCTAAAAACTCTTCATAAAAATACTAATGAAATAAAAATATCTTATTATTTTTTTTTTTTGGATTTAAAATATTAAGAAATAAGCTGAATGGTTACTTTAAAAAATTTGTGTATAGACTAGAAAATATAGAATTTTACATTAAATTTCTTTTATGATTTCAGATGATACTCCACAACTTAAAATTGAGTCTGGGATAGTAACACTCAACACAACACCCGGAACTGGTTTTGGGTTGATTTTCAGATCAGCACCTTCAAAAAAAGGTGCAGTCATCTGTTATATCGAACCACATGGAATAGCTGACAGGTAGTTAAACTCATACCTTAAAAAACATGAAAATAAAAATAATAATAATAAATAAATAAATGCAAATCATGAAGCAAGTAATTGTAATCGGAAACAAATTATAACATGCAATATTTATTAAATAAACAATTCTGTAGCTGGATTAAACTACATTAAATTGAAGTAAAATGAAATTATCCAAAATTCAAATAACTTAATATTAATGGCATAAATAAGAAAATTAGTAAAAGATATTAAACTTAGAGAAAGAAAAAATACATTGAGCTAGCCAAAAACTAGGAATGTATTAAATATCAGTAGGCCACTGAAACATCCATGTCACAGCATATGAAATATGAATAGATTTCAGGGCAGTTTCTTCATTCATTTCCTCCTCTTTCATATAAATACTAAAACTTAGCAGACAGTTCCTATATTTTCTTTTTTTTTTTTTACCTCACCTCCCTCACCTTTTAAGCTATACAAGGTTTTCCCTGGCTAAGAGGTGATGGTAAGGGATTAATGCCAAAGTTAAAAGTCCTCCCGGACACGGGATCATGAACTCGTAATTATTTTTAACTAATTATCTTTGATACGGATTGCCGGGACATGCCACTGTGCACAGGCATTAACCTGCTCGGCCACTCCGCCACAGTTCCTATTTATTTATCTTTCCTCCAGTTAATATCTACCTCTTCATTCATCTGTGTTACAATTTGTGCTGTCCTGTTATCCAGGGGTGCCCATCCCCTCCACAGTCAATGGTGCAAAAACCTATCCATTCCCCACCGAAGATATTTTATTGTTCACTTTTCTTAAAAGCTGAGGAATGGGAAGTAGAGTTAGAAAAATCAGAGACCATACAAAATTACACTTGCTACAGTCTGTTCCATGTTTTTTCCTTGTCCCTTAATCTGAAGCTTTTCATTACGAAAATTCATGAATCCGTTGAAATATGCTCCACTCAAAAATTTTGATGAAAACCCATAAAACCTCTTTCTGGACACCCCTGATGCTATCACAATAAATAAGCTGTATAAGCCAGTGAAAGGAGAGTAATATACAAAATTGTCTTAGCCTAAGTCTTGTCCATCAAAAAGAATTTTTACAGAGAAGTCCTAAGTTATACATGTTTTTATTAGAGGACTCTTTAACCAAAAATAAATAAATAAAGATGCAGTTTGTATTCTGAGATCGAAACTTTTTTTTTTTTTACGTATACTTTAGCCAAATTCACACCCTCTTATCATTGAATGTAATATATAAATAGAAAATTCCAAATATTTCATTTTGATCAACTTTTCTTTATGTGGTTAATTTTAGAAGTGGAGTACTACAAATTGGCGATAGAATACAAACTATAAATGGAAAATCGGCAGATAAATATGAAAGACTAGAAGATATTGCAAAACTGACAGTAGTAATTACAATTCAGTTTGATGTTGAAGTACATTCCTGCTCTGATGGGCCATTTTCTGTTACAATTACTAGATCTGAAGGTTCTGGTTTCGGAATTACAATAAGCGGTCAGTATCTCACATCAGAACATTTTGTTATTTTTGTAAATTTAAAGCAATATTACTTAAATTTTGATCACAAACTATTTTGTTATTTTTTGCCAATTTGGTTAGAACCAATATCTAAACTATATCCAAAGTCTAGAGATAATATTTGTAATTTTTTCAAGGTACAGGAGAATACAGAAAAGGTGTTGTAATTTCGCATATCAAGTGGGGTTCAGTTGCCCATCGATGTGGAAGACTGTTTGTTGGTGATCAACTCCTAGGAATCAATGGAACAGATATCAGGGGTGATCTGTCAACTGCTCTAGAAATATTCAAATGTTCAAAAACAACTGTGACATTTATTGTAAACAGAAGTAAGATAATTAGACAGTTCATATAATATGTATCAATTAAACATGTTTGGGTAGACTTAAATTAATGTTTAGGTCATTTTTGTTTGTTTAAATACATTCATCCATAGCATTTTTGTAAAACTAACGAAATGCAGGAGGAAAAATTTCTCCATAATTTTATGCTTATGGTTTATTTAAGTCCATTTCTCAGACTAAACATACTAAAAATGTTGTGATAAAGGCATCTTCAGAAGTGGACACAATTCATAAATCATCAGCTTATTACAAAAAGTCATTAAACACACTTTTTATAAAATTCTACTTAAAAGAACATTTTTTTTTTGTTTTATTGATATCAATCAATAAAAAAATTCATTAGGTGCATCAAAATAACCCAATAATAGTTTTACTAGATACAAAATGTTTTGATTTTACAGAGGAAAAAGTCAGCAAAATTACAAGAAGTATGATTTAATAAAAAATTAACTCTTTAATAACAATATATTTTACACATATATCTGTATCTTGGAACTAAAAGTGTCAGTATTCTCCCCCTCACTGACAGCTGTTTTCATAAAAATTAATAAATGGAAGGACATTAGCCATTTTAACAACTGATGTACATCCTATCCTAATTTCACTCAGGCAGTTCACTTAAATTTCAGTTTCGGGACATTGACCCTATTTTGGTCTGAGTAACATACAAATGCATGAAAATAATATTACATATATAAGCTTAATATTTTAAAAAGTTATTTGAACCAGCAGTTCCAAAACTAATAAATCTTTTCAGCTAGTTCGGATTTGGGTTATTCCAGTCCGGGTCTTCCATCAGTTGACTCTGCAGTGGAATCATGGGATAGCAGTGACATTCCTAACTTACAAAATGGCAAGTAACGCGCTTATCTACAATGTTAATAAACTTAATCTAAGGAGCATTTGTTTTAACATGGTCTTCTTTTAATGTAAGGCTACTAAAATATGGCTAAAATATTTTTTTAATAAAATTAATGTTATGTTACAAATAATATAAAACATTTTTAAAATCAAAAACATTTTCAAATGAACATTTGCATGGGACCTTCATTTTGAAGAACAGAAAACTATTTATTTTAATCCACACCTATTTCTGTGAGGGATTAGCAAAGATTAAATGTCAAAGAGATCTGGGATTATAATCTTCTTTTAATAAATTGCAAATATTGATTATAAAAATAAAATAAACTATTCATAGTAATTCATATTATTTACATTATTAAATTTATTGACAAAATAAACTTATAACATATTTTTATTTTTTTAGTAATAAATAATTATTTACATTTGGGGACAAATTTACTTCTGTTACAGTTATTCTTATGGTATTTTTATACTGTAAACTATTTGCAATTTATTTCATATATGAACAATCTATTACCTTTGCGTCATCAATTCTGCTATGAGTATGAGTATGCCTTGCACAATACATTTCTTCAATTATACTAAAAAAATTAATATCTACAAACTATATTAATATCTATAAGGCACAGTATTCCAACACCAGGCGAAACCATTTTCTATTTTTTTTATTTAAGTAATAGTTTTGTTACTAATGTAATATAAAAGAATACCGTTTGAAAACAGTTTAACCACATGTGAAAATAACTGTTTTTGAAATAAATCATTTTTCTTTACGATAAGTTATTACTATTAATAAGAAAAGAAAAACAATAAAAAATTTAAAAAGGATTTGGATTGCTTTGGAATTTGATGCTTCATATAGTAGATATGATGTAGTCTAACATTCAGATCATGATTTATTTATATTATTTCTTTTCTTCTCTCCCCCTTCAGAATTCCAGAGGCAAGAATTTAGGGACACATGGAGAACTGGTACTAATGAAAGCACTAACAGTTTCGCCTCCCAGCATTCAGGTATATTACTTTACGTTATTTTGTAGTAACACAATTTGAAAGGAACATAAATTTCTTAACAAATATTTATCTGTATATATTAAATATATTTGTTTCAGTTTTGGCTAACGCCTCAAAGAAATTATATTGTGTAAATAATTTTTAAAAATTAATTTTTTGTGATTGCAGATGAAGAAACCTATTCCTCTCTGAGACTTTCAGAAAGTGTGCTGGATGCAATATCTGCTGCACAACCAAATGGCTTAACAAAGAAACCCCCTTCACCACCTTGCCCTCTTCAAACAAATTATAGGCTCAGAAAAGTAAATCTCCCTACACATTGGAGAGGTTCAAGCAACATAAATAACTCTGGGTAATTTTTTTAATCCCTAAACTTACTTATCTCTATTAAATTTAACTTAGTTATCTTTGGAAATCAAATTCTTAATCATCTGAAATATTTTATTCCTACAGTTTTCCCCTTAAATTCTATTCGCTCAATTGAAAAGAAAATATTATTCATATATTATCAAAGCAATAACTTCCAAGTTTTTATGAAAAATTCCACGGCAAAAATCTATTTAAAGAAACTGTTATATTTTTATAATCCATATTTATAATTGAATTTTTATAAAAAAATCTTCCTTAATGTTACTTTGGTGACTGAATGATTTGCAAAAACTAACCAAAGAGCCAATCCATGAAAATTTTAATAAATGTTGTTTTTAAGTTCATGTAGAACTTAAACATACATATATCAGAAAGATGCATATTTATCACTAGAAAGATTAGTAAATTAAAGGTTCGTTACATAAAACAACTGCCAGGATAGTGTACTTAAATAAAACTTGTCATCTCTTAATCAATTAACTTTGACAGTTATATTTCCTTACTATGGTATAATTTGTTATAAATTTCATCATAAATTATATTAAAAAGTTTCCGTATTAAATTGGACACTATATTAAATAATTAATTAAATAGAAATTATACCTCTAAATTTAAAATTAATATGGGAACACTTGACAACATTTGCTTAATTTTTTTTTAGATTAATGTTAGCAAATAAGAAACCTTTATCATGAATTTTATCCTGAATTATTATTCCATAAATACCAAAGACATTTTTTATTGAGCTCAGGTGTTATTATGATGGATGTTAAGATTATCTACACATTTATGAAAGTTATTTTTTGAGTCAAGTATCGGAAACTAGTTAATTTAAATAGTAAAGTTATATTTCATTGAAAAGGTATTAGTATAATTTTTTTTTTTAGTTTGACAAGTCTTGAGGCAGAAGCCATAACTTCTCATCCAGATATTAATACTTCACCGCGTACATTTAGGACATTTAGAGGACTTAGTAAAGATGATGACAACATGCAACAACCCCAAAAAAGTATTCCACAAACTGTTTTTCAGGTAATTTATTCAATTTTAATCATTATAATTGGAGACATAGTTTTAATATATTTGCATTTTCAGATAGAAATTTCTTTTAAGGAAGTTCAAAATACATTTTTCTTTAGTTGTGCATTTTCAGTTTAAATATTTTTGGATACCATACAATGTGTAAATATTGTTTGGTGATACTCAAGGAGTAGTGCCATCACTACAGTTCACCATGCACACTCACCTGAACAGTATACTAAACATTTATGCCCAACATAAGGAGAAAATATGTTCAGTTATCCTAAGAGGCAGCGACCTTACTGTTCTAGAAATGAAAACAGTGATAAATATCATCAACAACTGAGTTGTACCTCTTCCTCTGACATAACTGTATTAGCCTGATAAAGATCTATCTAGGCAACCAATAAATATAATTTTCACATATCATATGCCTGCACTCTCCCAGTAAATTTTCCTTTAATTATAACTATGGATAAAAATTTTCAGCTCTAACTCAGGTAATAAAATAAGATTATAAAATTGTATAGTCCATGGTTAATAAATAATTTTCTCTTTATTAGGTAACTCTGACTAAAAATATGGTATTTGAAGACTTTGGATTTAGTGTTTCTGATGGTTTATATGAAAAAGGTGTTTTCATAAACTCAATCAAACCAGGAAGCCCAGCTGATCAGTCTAAAATGCTCAAACCATATGATAAAATCATACAGGTAAATAGTATTATTTACTATTCATAACTTTTTTCTTAATCTGATAAATGACACATTAAAAATTATGATAAATATGTAATGATTAAATAATTTTAAAATTAATTTTGGGAGGTATTTCTCTCTTAATTAATTTATATGGCTCATTTGTTATTTGTTATTCAGTTGTCATTTGTTGTATAAGTTGACTCTTGTTTCACAAAATAATTTTCAGAAAAATATATGGAAGAGTAAAAATTTAACTACTAATAAGAAATAGATTTTCCTGATTTATTATGTATGCATATATATTATATCTTATAAATATTATTATGAAGCTTAAAAAGTAGAACAGAGGTATCTAAAATAAAATTGCTGATTTGGGTTTTCAAACTTTTAAAGAAAATGACTGACTAGTAATTAAATGGAAAAATGTTAATTATTTGCCCATTCCCATGAAACAATGTTCCTAAAATCATTTTTTAAATAGTAATGCTTAAATAGAAAGAAAATAAATTAAAAATAAATTTGTTTAGTTTGGTTCCTGAATGCTGGTTAAAGTTAATTAAAAATTTCCTGTTGGTAATATCAAGTACCTTTTTTTCATTTCCATTCCACCTTTTTGTTTTTGTAAGTTGTTTACACTTGATTAGCTTATTATTTTGTAATATAAATTCAATGCCCATATTAAACATTTCATTTAATTTTATCAGCTATTGTTCTGTTTTGGTTTTATGTCATCTTCAATTTCATTCCCAATTGTCAAAAAAATTATACTTGATCTCATTTTGCATATATATATTAATGCATTTCATCTGCTCAAAATGTGTGATAATAAGTGAATGAATTATTAGTATAATCTTCTATTTTTTTTTCTTATGCCGAAGTCATTGGTCATTTGGCCATCCGACATCTTGGTGCCCAGTATAAATTAGATTTTCACATACATTGATTTAAAAATGTCTTTTTTTCTTATGTCCATCAAGGCAGGACATAAGTCTAGGTGGTCTGCATCCATTCTTCTTTGATGACATAATTACACCTAGGAACCTCAGCCACGCCTATCTTGTGGAGATGACTCTGCAGGTAGTCGTAGCCAGTCACCAGGGAGAAGCAGGCTACTGCATCTATTCTCGGTTGTTCAGATGGGATCGGGTTATCAAACACTGTTTATATTTATATTTATATTGCAGAAAGAAGTCCTTGAAAAAAGGCAGGTAAAGAATGGAAGGAATGCACGGGGCTTAGACAAGCGAAACAATTTATTAAAAGGCCCTCTATCTCCAAAACAAAGTGGCTGCTGGGCCTAACTAGGAAAGAAATCCGACTCATCATCGGAGTACTAACAAGCCACTGCAGACTTAAAAGACATTTAAAGATCTGTGGGATAGTGGATGATGAACTCTGTAATCTCTGCAGAAGTGTACCTGAAACTTCTCTTCACTTCATAACGGAATGTGACCGATTTGTGTCACTCAGATACAGACTTCTGGGTGCAGACAGAATCCAAGAATGCAAAGCTGCCTCCATTAAATGGTACAACCTTTTGAACTTCATTAGAAGAGCAAAAAGGCTTGAGACAGATTAGAGGTACAATAGGCAACCACTGGTAGTATCATCTTTGGGGTTGGCAAAAAGAATCAATAGGCCCACTTGCTGGACTAAGTCCCCCCACCAGTACCAGTACATTTCTATTTCTCTTCCACCTTGTTCAAGTATGCTTTTCTTATTTCTTCCTTCACTACCATCCTTACCATTTGCTGTATTGAATCGTCCAAGGTTTTGGATGGATTGGCTGAAGCAAATCTATTCCTCGCTTGGCAAGACTACCAGCCTCAACGTTTCCCGGGAAGCGATTGCAGGAGCAGTGGCTCAGAATCCACTACAGGACTGCACATTATTAATATAATCTCTATTCAGTCTCCCTTCATGGAAATAAACTACAAAGAGACTTAAAAGCCCTTAGTTTGGTGAGACCTAAATTTTCATAGATGGAATCTAGTGTAAATCAATTATAGATATAGGTCAAAACCTTCGTTTTATAGCAGACAATTTCAGAAAATAAAATCATTGACCTACATTTGGAGAAATATTTAAAAAAATATATTTATTTTGATGTATTAATTTTTAAGCATTCCTTATAAGCCCATATTGAACATTTCGTTTAATTTTACAGGTGAATGATGTTCCTACTCATGACTTGGACTGTTGTATGACAGTCCCCCTTATGGCATCAGCTGGCCAGACACTCACATTGACTGTAGTGAGATATCAAGATAGAAATTCAGTAAGTGAATTTTTCATAAATCTGTACCTCGGGGTTACAGAACACTATATCAAATTTCAGTAACTTTACAGGAGAGCGATTAGAACAGATGGTTCCTTCCAAATGAAAGTGGACTTAGTTTTATTTTATTCTCATGTTTTCTTTTTCTTTCAATGTTCAATATATGTTCAAAACCATGTCAATCTCCTTGCAATTGATCTTGGTCATAGTGATCTATAGCTCTGAGTAAAGTGAAAACAGCTAAGTATAGAAATGCTAAATTGATAAAATGAATAGATAATTTCCAATGGCTTAAAGGTTCAGGTTTTAAGGTTAAGTAATGGGCTCACATTGCAAAACTAAATACATAATTAAATGAATTTGGTGAGGCAGCTTCAACCTCAGATTCCCTGAGCAGAAATTGACCCTAGTGTATGACTGTTTCTAAAAACAGTTTGTTTAAATGAAAATTTTTAAGTTCAGAAGATGTCAGATTGAACCTCAGAAGTCATCACTTGTAATTTAGAGCACAGGCGGATTTATTAAGGTTATTTTAGTTTCTCATATATATGTACAATTTACTTGTTCTTTTCTTTCTCTTTTCAGTATTTTTATCTTTAGTCAACTCTTATTGTAAATATTCAATCTAATTGTAACCACACAGACATACAATCTGTATTTATATTTTGTTTTAAAGGGACAACAGTCCCAGAATAATAAAATATTTTTTCATTTCATCTATGGGAGGAGAGGAGAGGAGGGAGAGATGCTTTCACTCCCTCCTCCCTCCTGCAAGCACCCAGCATTCACAACTATATGTCAGTATGGGTCTTGCAGAGTGTAGCTTTTGTGTCTTTATTTATTGATTTTGCTTTAAAGAGCTTGATTAAACCACAATAACTCCTCGTGGCAGCTATGATTCTCTTTCTTATTTCTTTGGAGGAGTTATTGTCAGCATCTACAAATAACCCAAGGTACACAAATCCCTGAACTGTTTCGAACTTGTATCCACCTATTTCTATCTGTCGATCACGTACCTCAGTCCCTGCAACCATGTACTTTGTTTTGGCTTCGTTTATTTATAGCCTCATTGCTTGAGCAGATTACTGCAAAGCTTTAAAGGCTTCTTTCATGCCTGATTCTGACCTAATGATTATATCAATGTCATCGGCTTAGCCAGAAGCTGTACGCCATTATTGAAAATATGCCCGCCTATTTATATCTGCGAATCTCTAATCACTTTCTCTAGACCTAGGTTGAATAGAAGGCACACACCAGGACGTGTCCTTATTTCAATCGAATCCTTGTTTGTAGGGGATCTGATAGATGGGACTGAATCTTAATTTGACATTTAGAGTTCGATATGGCCACTCTTACCAATCAAACCTCATATTAGATGGCTTGCATTAATTTAAAAAATATAAATATAGTTTTTAAAGGAGACACGATAAATAATGAAACAATAGTTGATTTAAAATTTATTTTATTACTTTATTAGCCAACAAAAAAAAATTATTTACAAACAATATCTTTTTTATTATTAATATATACATTTCTTTATAAATGACAGTAATCACAGTAAATATACAACATATATGGTACACATATGTACAGTAATCATATGTACACATATATGGTCAAACCAACAAAATTTTGGTTCTGAAGGGCCCAAAACATGAATCACTTTTCTTATTTTCTAAAATAAAATTAATGACTGTGCACTTCATTTATCAAAAAGCAAAACAGTATTCAGAAATCACTCATTATCAGGTGTTATGTTGGCCTCATGCTGTATCAAGCTTTAATATTTAAATCACCATTAGGCATCCATCATATTCAATTTAATAAATATAACATGTATCAAAAAATATAAATTTGAAAAAAAGGTTCAATGTAAGAATGTTGGTGTAATTTTATTATGGAATCTGTTGCATAAGATTTAATTTGAAAAATAAAAAATGGATTTTATTACAATTAAAAATGATATATATTAATTATCATATTAATTAATTCAATCTGGATTTATAAATCTAGGAAATATAAAAAAAAAAAACACGGGCCAAGAACTTTGATCATATAATAAAAAATATGCATTTGATTATCCTTTCATTGATTTATAAAATTTAGGAGTATATAAAATAGTTCATCATATATTGAAAACTTCATAAAACTAAAAATTAAAAATATTGATCAGAAATTTTTCACACTGGCATTAATATCACATCCCAGTTTGTAGCAAAATATTCTGTTTTGAAAAATTTAATGCTCAGGATATTGAAAAGTATCCAAGCTCTCTTTTGCAACTTTCAGAGCTAAGTCCCTTTTGCTGGGCTTAAAATTCATCTTTTTTACATCTGTAACAAACAATATGCATTTTTAAACACACTCTAACTAAAGCACAGAATAGTATTATTTTTTAAGTAAACACGTTAGTTGCGGTTATGGTCCCCGAGTTCTGATATTTGTCTCGACTTCAGCCGGAATTGTTTCGAATTTTGGCTATCTTACAAAGTCTCTGAAATTATCATTTTTTAAAATATTTGAATGGGAATTGGATAGATGTAAAGATAAATACAAATGTAAATAATCGTTATATCTGATATAAAGCTATAGGACGCCAGGGACCGTAACCGTAGCTATCGTGTTAATATTGCTAAATATAAAAAACTTGTGTTATAAAATGACTATTCACAAACGACCACGCATTGACTTTGAATTATTTATGCAATAGCTGAGAAAATCTGAACAGGAGAAATAATCTTAAACTAATAAAGATATTCTTTTTGATAATTACCCGACTAAGCAAAGAAAAACTAGGGTTATGTGTTTTGGTCGTCTGCTAAAAATTATGTAACGCTTTTTTGAGCAAACGGATGGATTGATTTTAAGTTTGATGGCTCAAATTATTTGGTGGGATACCCTGAGTGTTTTGAAACAATGCAAGCTAAAAATACCAAATCATGATTAAATAAAATTTGTTTAATCGATTAGCTAAAACATAAGTAACGATTTTTTGAGTGATCGGCTGGATAGTTTTTTATATATAAGTTTGATATATTATAATATTCGGTTAGATCCTGAGAGTGTTTAGAAAGCAAAACGACATGAGGGTCATGTGTTCGGGTGTATGCTAAAAGGTATGTAACGATTTTTTGAGCAAATGGCTGGGTCAATTTTTAAGTTTGATATCTTAAGTAATTCAGTAAGATCCCGTGAGTTTTTTTTAACAATTTGAGTTAAAAACACTGATTGAATAAAATATGTTTAATCAATTTGTTGAGGTATTTAACGATTTTTCAAGCAAAGCCCTGGAACTATTTTATTAAATTATTCAGTGAGATCTTGTGAGTGTTTTGAAAGAATTTAAGCTCAAAATCCATCAAATTACTGAATAAAGTGTGTTTAGTCAATCCACTAAAAGATACGAATGATTTTTTAAAAAGAATGGCATGATCGATTTTTAATTTTGACTTTGAAAAAAGATTATCTCAAGTGATTGGGAGAATCATTGGTAAAAATCAATACAGAGATACTTCTTCAGGTAGATCCCGTGAATGTTTTGAAACAATCTGACCTCAAAATACTGAAAAAAATATTATTATAGCTTAAGTATCTCAATTATTAATTAATTTGAAATGATTTCATGTGATCTTATTTTACGAAAATGAATTTTTAATACTCTAAAAACTAAAAGTGTAAAAATAAAAAATATTTGGATTCAAAAAAAAAAAAACCGACTACAGAAATTGGAAATTCTATCGACCCTAAGGGAATGTACTTCCATATCTACTGAAACATCTTGGTAGATTGATAGGGAAATCGATATCTATGAATATTTACACTTGGTGTAGTAGTCAGGTTCCAATCATATCCCGATCAAAACTTGTAACTTTTTCAGCTGTTGATATGTACTGACGAGTTAAAACAATACAAGGAACAAAATATATATGCTTAAAGCCATAATGTGTAGTGAAAGTCACCCCACTATTATACCGTTTAAATATTCGTAGAAGTAAATTTTCCTATCAATCTACCAAGATGTTTTTGTAGATATGGAAGTACATTCACTTAGGGTAGATAGAATATACCAATTTCTGTTGTCAGTTTTTTTTTTTAATTCCAATATTTTTTTATTTCAACTTACATAGAGTTTCTTGAGTTTTAGAGGTAAAGAGTTTGTTTTCACAACATAAAGAATCACAATTTTCTTTTTCAAGTCATCCTCATTTTTTTGTCATCATTATTTATTTTGTTTTTTAATTTGATAAGATAATCTCAAGGGATTGGGGGAATCAATTATTGGTAAACAACAAATTTGTATAGTAAAAAATTACAAGGTACTAAGGTTTGAATTAATGAGGTACAGGCCCGGATAGAATATACAATAATAAAAATACAGGCTAAATATACTGTAGAAAGAATAAATGACTTTTGAATTATGATGGACTTTTTGAACAGAAATTAAAACAAAATTTTTAGTTCATTGGTTTAAATATATTAGCTCAAATACAACTAGAGCAGATTATCCTACAGATTGCGACATATTACAACCAATATATATATATAACTACTACCCATGCTTTAATTTTAATACAATCCTGTTACTTAAATCTGCCTCAAGAAATATTTTTAAAAGTATTAATTATACATATATATAGCAGCACTACTACCTCCGTTCTAATTAATAACTGCATCAGTGGTATAAATAGATAATAAAAATTTGGAAGTTACACTAGGATATATAGAGTTACGTATACTGAATATTTGTACTACTTTTAACATTAATCATATATCAGAATAATGTTAATATTATATAACAGAAAATTCATTTTGTAAGGCCGAGCTCTAAAATATGTTAGTGTAATCAATAATTCATGTGAAGTTATACTGATATTGTTAAAATAAATATGTTTATCAAGTTTATTTGCTTTACCTATTTAAGTTATGATAATAAATAGATAATATATATATATATGTATCATTCATAAATATCAAAAATTAAAAACTCACATGTAAGCTTTTTATGTTCCCTTTTAACTTTTTTTTTGTTTATTGCTAACTGTTTATTAATAATGCTACCTGACTTTATATCCTCCGAATAACCAGCTTCTCTGTTCATTAACGGATCTAAAAAGTTGACCATGATAATTCAATATTAAAAAAATATATATTAGAAAAGATTATGAAAAATGAATAATTATTAATTTATACCATTAGTTGGATGGGATGTTTTAAAGGAGTGTGGCTGGCTATTAATGTTCAAAGAACTATCTTGGATGCTAAGACCTAAAAAAATATAATAAAGACATCAATTAATTAGATACAAAACAGCAAAGTGATAAACCATCATATAATTTTTTTTTTAAGTACTAGCCTTTTTCGGGTTTGATAATGGCTAAATTGGTATCACAGAAATTCGGTTTATAGATCAGTGGTTCCTTAATTTTTAGTTGAGGAACAAAATTCAATCCAAAAAAGTTTTTGTCATCCACTGGTATAAAATTTAAGAACAAAATAAATAAACATTTATCATGCTTAAATATATATTGTAGACTAGAAGTTTAGTGATTAGAAGTCTAGGCTCAGTAAAAACCAAATTTCTGTAATGAAAATAACAAGCTACTAAGGATTGATATAATGAGATATGGGCTATGAATAGAATACATGACTTTTGAAAAAAGATAATACTTTTTGAACAGAAATTAAAACAAAGCTGTTAGTTTATTGGCTTGGAATACTACAACTAGAGCAGACTGGGCAGACTTTCCCACAGATTGCTCCCTTATAGTACCTAAGGGTCAGGTAAGTGGGATCCCGGTTTTCCCGGGTCAGGGAGTGTGGGCGGGAAATTAAGACTACCCTGGCATCGGGACACGAACTCACGACCATTTTTTTTTTATCAAATTGTCTCATATATCAGGTTGCCAGGCAACGGCGGTGCTGTGGATACGTGTTAGCCCATTCGGCCAGCTCGCCCACTTATAACTATAATTGTGTTTCTTTAAAAACAGTCATTACTAATACAGCTTATAACAACATTTTTTCTAATTTCATTATTTTTATGCTTTTTTTTTTTTTTTTTAGTGCTCTTTACATAGTACTAAACTCAAGACCCTTCATGAGTTTTAGTGGTACAGGTTTTCTTTATTTTTTTTTTAATGAATAATTAAAGAATGATTTTTAATTTTTATTAAATATTAAAATAAGAATTTTAGCAATAATTTTTTATATGTTGAAATTACACTTTTTTATTTTTATTAACAATATCAAATAATGAAAAATCTACAAAAAATATAAACTAATTGTTCCCCACCACTTGACTATTAACATATAAATGGGCCCACGTAAAGAAAAGAGTTGGTAACTTGTGCTTTAAAAATTTTCAAGGTATAGAGTTTTAACACAAATAATTGATTGATTTTCAAAGAAGTATTCATATCATATTATTTATAAATTTAATACTTATATATTTCATTATATCTGTGATCTTAATAATATAAATTGTTTTTATGTTTCGTTTGATAAGTAATCAAAGTATATTTTACTTTTACAGACTAACAGTCAAATTAGTTGGATAGAAGAAGTGGGAGAAGAAGCAGGAGAAGCATTTAAAGTGACAGAAACAATTTAAGCACATCAAAACATATGTCCATATATATATAGTCCCTTATGATGTAAAAATTCTGGACAACCTACACACTTTAAAGAATTAACTATTGTTATTTACATAAATTTATTTTTTTACTTTGTATTAACAATTATTTTTTATGTTATTCTATAATTATAATTTAGATTGTTAAAATAAACAATCAATGGTTACTGATAACTAATTTAATGATAATATATATAATTGAAATAAAAAATCATTTCCATTATTTAAATAATAATTTCATGTTCTTTAAATTATATCAATTTTTTATAAAAATATTAATTTTATTTACTTTTCAGAATAATAAGAAAAAATCCACTTGAAAGTAGTAATCCATGTTCAATATTAAATTAAAGTAATGAAAGACTTATTTAATATTATCTGACATGTTTTTTAAATTCATAAAACTTAATATACACTACAAATATCATAGCAAACAAAATTTTAAAGGAAAATTAAAAACAAACAAGTAATTTATAAACTGTAACAAATGTATGCAAAGGGTTCTGTAAAAGCTTTTATGAATTAGGAAATCCAACTAAGTACTTTCTGACAATGCCAAATGTTTTACATCTGAAAAGTGAAAAGGTTTATAGAATCTGCTGGAATCAAAAAGATATCACATCAACCAGACAACCAAAACTTAACATTTCTGAAAGGATTGATAGAGATCTTTACAATTAACTATTGAGAATCAGCATAATTTTGACTAACCAAACTCGCAAAAATAGTAAAATCGTTTGATTCTTACTATCATAATATAAAACCAATACATTCAATGTGGTGTATAAAACCAACAAGATGCGGCAATAATGGTGTCCCTGAGACAAAAATCTTCAAAATCTTTAAAATGTCACTAAATAATTCCGATTGGTCAGGCTTAAGTTTAAGCAGCAAAAGTAACAAAAAGTGAACAGTATCCATATTTCCTCAGAGAGACGCAAAATTTGAACAGAATTGTGGTTACTCCCCGGATACACTGCATCGAGAGAGCCTAAAAAATTTACACAATTCATCAATACATAAGTAAACAAAGCTGCACCAAGATCTTCCAAATAATGTCAACAAATAAGAATATTAACAAAAAATATAATTGATAGATTATAATAATTCTCATTAAAATTAGTGCAAAAAAAAAAACAGGATAAACTCAATTATTACCAGTAGATGAATCTGTACATACAAAGATTTTAAATTTATCATAACTTACTTGGAAACTGTTTATCTTCATTACCAAGCAAAACTATCCCTCCTTTATTAATAACATAATTTTTTATACAACCTTCAGAACAACGTGATTCACTTTCTAAAAAACAAAACACATTAAAAAAGAGGTTAAAAATTAGCATTTCTTGAATAGAAATGGTTCTTGATCAAGTAATCCATCTACAAATACAAATCCACTTAAGATTAAAAAGTGAAAATTTGATGACAGAGGAATTTTGAGAATAGGCCAAAAATCACACATTAGAAAAATAAATTATTAAATTATACATTTTGGTATAGTTGTTCCTGTTCAACATACTTTCATATCTATATATGTTTAACATACATGTTATCCGTAGATAAAAAGAGCAATTTTAAGTATTTATATAGTTATATGTGAGATTAAAATCTGAATATTATGGTTTAGTTCAATTCAGTCAACCAACTTTTTTTTTTTTTAGACTACCCTAAATACACTTTAATAGTTTTAAAATTCAGATGAATCAATGTTATTATGAAAATGAACCATTTTATATTGTTTTTATTTCAAAACTTTAGGAGATAACTAGGGATGATTTATGAATAATAGACCAATTTCCAATATAAGAAAAATAAGAAGGTAAACTATTGTTACATAAAATTTGGTATAAATTAAAAATCATTAGGTTTATTCAAGCTTGGATGAGATTTTTAAAATTGAAATATGATAAAAATTGAAGGAAAATCACTATTCATTTCGGGATTTAGATGAAAATATCCTCATCTTCATTAAAAAATATCCAGGAGGAATAAGAATAAAACAAAGTACTAATATATTACCTTCTCTGGATTTTTTTCTTGACAGATTATAATTTAATTCATCTTTTTTTTCAGTGGCCATTGAGAGCAAAAAAGGTATTTTTAAGTAAATGCTCCTCGGGGTAAACGCAATGAATATTAAAAAAATACCAAAAAATAATAAAGGTAACTGCATTATGGTAACTAAGAATTCTAACAGTATATTAATCGGCCATGGACTTCTATCTGAAAAAAAAAAATGTAAAATACATAATCATTCATTAATTACATAAAAACAAGATTTAAACCTCTTTCATATAATTTAATAACTAGATAACTTGTGTTATTCAATAAGGAGTTGGTTAGGGGGTGCCAAATAATTCATGGTACAAGCTGAAAAATAGAGATCTGAGCACTACAAATTGAGATTTTTAAGCACTACAAATTTTAACACAGCAAGGCAGAGGAATCGATTGGAAATGAGTTCAGAGAATATATCTCAGGCAGTCAGTCTGGCTCTGAAAGAGAATTACAAAGGGAAGTAAAAAATTTAGTACGAGGACGCAGAAATTATTAGTAAGGCATAGAGTATCTCAAAGTAGAAAAAGACAAAAATTAAATAAATTTTAAGAATATTAGTTATCAAAGTTTAAGAAAATTACAATAACTTTCAGAGTGTTTTCCTACTACATCTAAATGTTTTAACTGACTGTAGACATGTAGGCCATTTGTAGTTACATTTTTATATGCATTATAACTCAAAAGGGAACAAGTATTTAGTCTAATATAATATGTTATACAAATTAAAAACCTGTAAAACAATAATATTAATAAGAAAAATGTGATTTACCATATTTACACAATAAAACATGAATGCATAATACAGTACCTACGAACGGCTTAATCATTTGTTCGGATCCTTCACCTAATATTGAACATAATGTCGAAAAAAATGATTGGAAAGGTTTAATAAAAGCTGAAACTAAGTCCATTTCATACCACACGGACTTTCTCGACTGCAGAAATCTTTGACATGGGTCATCTAAAATTTTATTAATAAAGAATTAACACAGTCTCTATAAATTTTTAATATATTAAGATTTTTTTAGTATGAATAAGAATAAACATTATTAATTATACAAAAGTAACAATAAGTAAATCAATAAAGTAACAATAGTTATACCCAATAGTTACAATAGTCAGTATACTTAATTATATATAATATACACAAGTTATACTTGTGTCATGGCATTGATGACCAACAGGTTTTATGCGTAACTCACAACAAATAACTAACCTGGTGTTTAAAATATCAGAATATCAACTGGTAAATAGAAAAATGAAAGAGTATTTTAAGCAAACAAATGAAGAATCAACTCAAAACATGACTATAATTTCTCAATTATCAATTTATTGATAGGAAGGTAAAGTGAAAAAATGTAGTTTATATTAATGACAGGCTTGTTATTGACTAAATAAACAGATCTGTTTTTAAGAACTCAAAATAAAATGATATATTATAAAAAAAAAAATTGTATCAACTTCATTGTTGTAATTGAAATATTTATTTACTTTCTTCATTATAATAGAAGACATTAATTTTCTTCAATGTTCTTTAAATAAACATAATTTGTACTGCAGATGATTTAACTCGGGGCAATAATGAAATAATTATGTACGGTGATGAATTGGTCTTATTGAGTCAATATTGAAGATGCAGAAAATATTGAATAAAATATAAAGTTGATGGACGCTAGCACAAAGTTAAGTCTTCAAATAAATGGTTAGAAATGACAATATTGATGATTTGAGGATTATAGTTCTAAGAGTAGTCTGAAGTGTGGATGGTAGGACAGGTGAATTCAGAACTGAAGTTATAATAGAGTTCAGTGGAGGGAGTTCTTCAGGCTAAGGTTATTAGAGTTATTGACATAAAACCTGTAGGTTCGTTAGATTTTGTTATTATCATTACATAGATTCGACACCAAAAATTAGAATTGTGGCCCCATGTTACAAAATTCTTGCTTTATAATTAATTTAAAAACAAATTCAATTTCTTGTGGCCTTTTTTGTCTACCCATAACGGATACTTTAAAGGTTGCCACTGCATACCTACCAGAGTGGGATTGTTAAGATTCATTTCCTGAACCTTTTTTTTCCTCCTTCCACCCCTTTCACACTACATGGGGTTTTTACCAGGCCAGGAGAGAGGGCGGAGAATCAAGGTCAGAATTAAAAGCCACCCTCACCGGAAATTGAACTCATAATCTTCAGTGTATCAGATTGCCAGATGAAGTATATTTTGCATAGATGTTAGCCCGCTTGACCATCCTGCTCCCTAACTTTTCCTGGGTTGTCAAGAAATAAATATTGTCCAACCCGGATGGGAATCAAACCCACAACAATCAGAACACTAAATCTATCTACATCCACCCCTCCCCCCCCCCCCCATACTCAGCTATCACATCCTCCACTGTTGAGTAACACAATAACAAATTATATAAATATAACAGCCTTAATAATAAGACATGAAAATATGAGACCGTTATTGTCATGAATCGAACATCAATAAATTCTGAAAAGAATTTAGAATTACAATGAATATTTAATAGAATAATATATTACCTTTAAATATGTGAACATACATTTTTTCCAAAAAAGTCATTTTAGAATAAAAGCATTCCTTAGGAGGTGTACCAAGATTGTCAAATTCCATGCGCTTTAGAATTATATTTTCACTTATGTCCTAAAAAATCACAATAGTAAAATATATCATAAATATAAATAATATATACATTACATAAATCTTATATATTTATATATTCACAATAAAGAAGAGCTAAATCATGCAGTAAATCTATTATGAATAAAGTCTTTTAATAATAATGAAAACTTAATACCTCATACTGTTTTAATAATCCCTGAAACACAACAGCAATGTAGGAAATAAATAATATAAAACTAATTCCTGGTATTTTAAAACTGATTTTCCTTAACACGAATACAGTAAATGTCACAATGGCTAACAGTAATGCAATTAAAATCTAAAAATTAAGATATATGAAATTACTGTCATATATATTTACATAAAAAATTAAATAACAAGAAATACAGAAAAAATATTTACATACTGCATATTTCAAATATTCCATAACAACAGAAGTTTCTATGTAAAAATTATGTTTGCTGTTAAACATTGATCTGAAACTATTTTCTAATGTTTCTAAAGAAATCTCTTCATCAGATCCAAAATGTTTAAGTATATCGAAATTCTCTTTTGATAAAGTCAAATCAACTCTTAAAGATTTACTGCCATCCTCAAATACATCATCCTATTACACAAATGTGAATATTATTAAAATAATTAAAATTATGGCAACTGAATTTAGATGTAACAATTGATAAATAAATAAAAGTAATTATAAAAATAACCATCGTAATATAATATTTTTTTATAGGATACATAATTATTATGATCTATGATAAGAAAAGCGATAAAAAATAATGACTCTGGATAAAGGGAAAGAAGCCTATCATTCATTCTCAAATATTCATCACACTTTTAAGGTGCATTTAGGCAATTCTCCAACTAAGGGAAACACAATTATCTAACTTAATTAACAGTGACATTACTGCTGAACCGAACAATTTATTTTATTCCTTTTGATACCAACAGCAGATGGATAATGTAAAAAGCAAGAAACAAAAGGAGGAAAAAAGGAATCCTTTTATTCTGAACCAAACTTTGCACCGATGGATATTGAGAGGTCGTATTGAACTATTAAAATTTTGCAGTGGTAAAAGACTAAAGTTTATAAAAAGGGATATGTTTTAATGGACATAATTTTAATAAAGAACTTTTAAAAAATAGTATTACATTTTCTAAAAATATATTCTTTCCATACATAATCTAGATATGACATTTCAATATCATAAACTTGATATTTTTCACCCCCAATAATAGCCTATCTTTATTTCTTTATTTATCTATTTAACATTATTTTTGTGTACATTGTACCATTTTTTTTTTTTTTGTATTTTGTTCTATTCAGCCTTGATTTAGACCTACAACGTACAAATAGACTGTTAATAAAAAATAAATGTCATGTATTAATAAACACAATGACTAATATATCCTCATATAAAATCTATGCTCAATGATATCCTTACCAATTTACATTTAATATTTTTTAAATGTAAATTAGTCTGAATTTGTTCTAATTGGTTTTCGAGAAAAAAAATTATTTTTTCTACATTTTTAAAATGTAATCAACAAATTCTAATACTTTTTTTTCATTTATATTTATTCAACAATACAAATGTATTTTATTTGAAAACCAGAATAATGTGCATTGTATGAATAAAACAGAAATGACCAGTCCAAATTAACAACCAGTAAACATAATATACACTAATCTTATGTGATAAAACTAATCTCCAGGTAGTAGTTTTTAAACTGAATGAATTGAAGCATTTGAAAAAAAAAGATAAATAAAAGAATTCATAAAAGTTTCTTTCTTTAAAAATTTTAAATACTTGTTTATGAAAAGCACTTTTATATGATATGAAACAATTCAGAGTTTGGAAAATAAAAGTCATTAACTCTGTAATTAGAGGTGATGATGGTCAAGTATGCCTACTTTAGCATTTTCAAATCAGAAACATCTTCAATTATTTTAAGGCCAAGGTTTGTTGACATTTATTTTGTGCCATAGTCATAGAATTGATTTAGACTTTTTACTCTGTCTAAAATGGTAACCTATAAGATTGACTAATCCTTCATGCTTTAGTTGGAGTGCATAGGAACGTTAGGCCAAAAAAATTAACTATATTTGCTAAGCTTTTAAATTTGATATATTTTAGTTTCCATAGTTAAAAATTAAAATAATGATAAATAACTTAATGGAACTCACTGCTTATAGATTTAATGATAAAAATAAAAGTCCTCTTTGTACCAAATCTCTTAATATTAATAAGAAACAATACCATTATGGAATTAAATGCAAATATGAACCAATTGATTACATAATATATTGAAAAACATAATTTTAGTTTAATTCAAGGCATTAAGTCTTTACCCAAAAGCCAGCGTTGCTTAAAAATATATTTATAAATCTACTAAGATAAGCTTTATATCTTAAGTCCTCTTTATTATTATAGTGCCTTGATGATCTGTCTTTCCTTCCGGACTGAAAATCATCAGTCCTATACAGAGGAGGATCATTTTCTTCCACAGTATATTCACCAAAAAAATCCCTAGAGGAGTCCCAATCATTTTCTGATTGAGGCGAAGACTCAAAAAAATCACTATCACCCACAGTTGAAAAATATGTCAACCAAAACAAGGCTAAAACTGAATAAATAACAAAGTTCATTATAATTTCAGAACTTGAGTTAGTTAAAACAACTGTTCTAGTAAACTAAAGATTTTTCAAATGCTAACTACTTTCAGGAACTATTTTATACAGTCAAAAATAGAGTAAAATAAAAAAATTAAAGGGCTAAAACATAAATTATTCAGAAACATCTCCCCAAATATTACGGAAGGTTATATTACTGCATCTTTCAAAAAGGTTACATAGGTATAGGTAGCGATACCAATCCCTAGTTACCAATAATTTATTGGTAACTAGGGATGGGTCGTTACCGATTTTTAGTGTACCTGTTCCAGTCCGTTCCATTCCCCAAACGGACCTGTTCCAAATTATCGATACCGTTACTCCAGAATTTACACCTAGGCATGGGAGATAGTCGTTAGTAATGCACTATCTGAAACATTATCGATAGTATCGATAGTTCAGTGACTTCCCGCCACAGACTAAAGGAAGATTTATTTTCGCTCTATTCTTTGTTCATTTACTTTAAAATGCCACATAAGCTTCAATTTAATTAATATAAAATATAACGTTTAAAATTAACGTTTATGTGAAATGTAACATTAATATGAAATAAAACATTTAAAATTAGAAATTTTATATTTCGATTTTTACAAGATTGAAAATCCAATTATATTGTTACAGTCATATTGCAAATAATGGAAAGAAAATTAATTAAAATTAAAGAAAAGAAACCTAAAAGTAACGTTAGTAAAGAAAACTAATTACAGGGATAAATGTTGGTGTCTAAAAATGCGATTTTTTTTCTCATAAAATTGTAGAAATAATAATAATAAGTACTAATATATATTTAATAATATGAACAAATTTTTAAAGGATTTGTTTCTATGTGTTTTGGCTTCTTTGTTGCAACATCATTTATATCTTTCGAAACAGAATAATTAAGAAGAAATCAATATAAATCAATTAATGATTACTTCTAATAATTGCAGAATTTTATATATATAGTTTAAAAAATTATATTTTCTTCTAGAATCGAATGAACATAAAGGCTTACAGAATGATAGTTGAGCTCAACACCACCCTACATCCTCAGCATTTTTTACCACCCAAAGCCGGGTTACTTCTGCGATAAAAAAACAGTTAACCACTTCCGTATTTCTTCTAAATCGTGGCTGAAACTGTCTGAATCACAGAAGCGTAATGGCATTGACCCTCCATTAAAGCTTGTTAATTCCCTTGAAACTAGATGGAATTCAACCCTCAATATGTTGTCAAGATTCCTGGAGTTGGAGGTACCAATTAAAACCACCATAGCATTAATAGATACAGAATTGCCCTCTCTAAATTTATTAGAATACAAGAAATTAATTTCGTTATTAAAACCTTACAAACATTTAACCGAAAATTTAAGTTTCCAAAAATATCCTCCAGCTTCCAGCTTAATTGTGATGATTCCAGGACTTTTAGACCTACTGGATAAGTATAAAATACAAGAGGAATTCGCAGATTTAAAAGTTACTATTGACATTTTAATAAAATAAACTAAAAAAAAAGGACCACAAATGAGCCGGAACAGAACAAATCTAGTGAAGAACAACAAATGCTGGTGTCCCTTGATGAGGATTCTGTCTTCAATTCATTTTTATCAGAGACCAAATCTCAAAGTACATCTATTGGTAAGTAATTTTTATGATTTTTCATAGATGAAATGAAAATTGGCATAGTTTTTTATTTTGTTTAGCATAGCCTTAAGATCTTTTTTTTTATTAAAATAAACATACCTTCATCATCATTTGTACACAAAAAAAAGTGCAAACATACATTTATTAAAATATTTAATTAAATTTATATAATAAAGACAACATAACTATTATTTTTTATTTATCCTTTTACTAAGTTATTTATTTAAATTAGGATATTAAAATTGTTTTATAAATTATTTAGTCATCGATTTTAAAATCTCAAAAATAAAATTTATGTCCTAATGAGCATGGTGTACCGCACATGCTGTCTTATTGTTATATTTAGGATTATCATTATTCATACTATCATTGGAATGTTAGTACATTTAATTTCTTATTATATATATATATATATAATATTTGTCATGATGTAGAGATGGTTGACCGTTGATATGATATGAGAAGGAGTTAGTCGAGGGTGCGGTCAAATAAATAAAAAAAATTAATAATTTAATTATATAAAAATATATAAAAATAAATAATTTTAATTTTTGCCGACGTTTCGACCCACTTTGCAGGTCGTCTTCAGGGCGTTGGATGTGGCACTGCGGGAGGCAGTTGAAACACTGGCGGATAAAAAGTGGCCAGTGTTTCAACTGCCTCCCGCAGTGCCACATACAACGCCCTGAAGGCGACCTGCAAAGTGGGTCGAAACGTCGGCAAAAATTAAAATTATTTATATATTTTAATTTTTTTAATTATTTGACCGCACCCTCAACTAACTCCTTCTCATATAATATTTGTCTTTGTCTTTGTATATATTTATATACATATTTTTGTATTTGTATTTGATCTGTGTGATCCTATGATATTGCTATTGAATTACTATGTAGAAAATTTGTATATGGCACTAGATATATGTGTTAAAAGAAAAAAATATTTACGTATATATATATATATATATATATATATATATATATATATATATATATGTGTGTGTGTGTGTGTGTGTGTGTGTGTGTGTGTGTGCGTTCGTGCGTGGGTGTGTGTGCGTGTGTGTGTGTGTGTGTGTGCGTGGGTGCGTGCTTGCGTGCGTGTGCGTGCGTGTGTGTGGTGTGTGTGTGTGTGTGTGTGTGTTTGTGTGTGTGTGTGTTGATAAAAAGCTATAATATTGCCCTAGATATATGCAAATATAAATAAATAAAAGTTTGTATAAATGTTTTCCTCTCTCCTTCTAATACATTTATTTTTTTTTAAATGAATATGTGACTAACCAAACAAATATAGCATTATTTTGTTTGAAAAACTGTTTGTATTTCTATATTGGTTCCAAAACATATCCTGATCGGTATTGATAACAGCTAAGGAACAGGCATAAAATTAGTCCTGGACAAATTTGTTTAAAATAATATTTGAGTAATCGATAAATAGACCAAAAAAAATACTTTTGAAATTTTTTATTTCATCATTTTACTAAATTTTTTCAACATTTATAAATCTTATTTCTGAAATTACTATTTCGTCAAATAATTTTATGCTGAATTAATAACTTTGAAATGAAGTTCATCTAAATAAATTTTAGTCTTTCAAGAGTTTTCATTGAGCTAAAATCGAGTTATATTGAGCCAGTTCAGAGCCATATCGGAGGCAAAGTATTTTTCAAATTACAATATTATTTTCATATTTAAAAATAATATATATTTTTACAAATCCTTTAAAAAAAAATGTTTCGAAACAAAATTAGTAGAAACATAGATGCTGCTTATGGTAATGTACTATTGTATGTTAAAATGAAAATTAAAAAGTTTCATGCACTCCCGTTTTTAGGATAATTAAGATTATCAATTTTTTGTATTTATGATTTTAAACATTTTAGAAATAGAATTGTTTAATATTTTTGTGAATTAGTTTATTTTTAAAATAAAAAATAGTGAAAGAGATAATTAAAATAAGATAATTATTTAAATAGCAGGAGTTGCCATTTCTTCAATAATTTTCCTTATTGAACCCGCTGGAACAGTACTGAAACGCTTCTGCTAACTGTTTTTCCGTTCCTTATCGATCCAGCTGGAACAGAATTGGAACTGATCTGGAACGAATTGCCAACCGTTCCTCCCCACTCCTTATCGATCCAGCTGGAACGGAATTGGAACTGGTCTGGAACGATTCGCCAACTGTTCCTCCCCACTCCTTATCGATCCAGTTGGAACGGAATTGGAACTGGTCTGGAACGATTCGCCAACTGTTCCTCCGTTCCTTATCGAATCGGCCCCCACTCCTTATCGAACCGGCATCCTCACTCCTTACCAAAGCGGCGGTATCGATAATTTTCAGTCGTTGGAACAGTTCCGTTCCGTTCCACAGTGAGATTAGGTTCCCGTTCCCGATCCAGTTCCATTGACCCATCCCTACATGAAGGAATATCTGTAAAATCTCTGAATACATTATCAATTACATATTAAAAGTAAAAAATGAAACATGGATGTTATGATTGAATAATCTAATTTATAAATTATTCACAAGTAGTGCAGAAAAAAAAACCTTAGTTTACCTAAGAAATGATAAAATTTGTACATTAATGAAACTTAGGTCATACATTTTTCTTGGCAGTAGAAGATTCAGGATTTCATTATGAATATATTATATTGATGGTAATTACACTTGAAGAGAAAAAAATATATAAAATGATGTTTAAGTAGTTCTTGAAGGCCAGTATGGAAAAAATAAATAAATAAATAAAACGGTAATGCAGGAGCAATAATACTTTTAGGAGTAATTTTTTAATATTTCTTCTTGATTCTGCTTACCTTTAATAGTTGAATTTCTGTTACAATTTATAAAGAGTTCATATGGTGATTGTTTAAGTATTTAGATCAGATCACTCATAGAATGTATGAACCAATAAAAAAAATATGTATATATATATATATATATATATATGTATATACTATTCCATATCGTTGGAGCTTCAGGTTGAAAGCCTTTCCCATTCAATGTGGATATGATATGGTAGTGGTAGGAATCAAAGGTTTGCAGGGTTTATGAAAATTTCAGGGAACAAACCTCATTGGGGAAGAGTTGGGGTTGGAATGGGAGCGGTATTTTTGCATAATGATTTGTAGAAAGCAAATCGGGTAAGGTATCTATTTTGTTTCTGAATTGAATGAGTCTATCCCAATGACAAAGGAGTCAATATTTTTAAAGATACAGATTTTATTTAAATGACGTACTAATTACAATATTTTTTTTCGAAAGATTTTTTTTAAAGAACTAAATAATAAATAAGTATACCTGTAATTAATTGATAGTATCTAATTAACAAGAATCCAAGAGGAGATTCATTTTCTTCTTTCAAGTATGAAATGTTCCATAAAGCATAGAAAGAAATTTGGTCAGAATTTTGTTCTAAGTATAAATATAAATTTAATTCGATATTCATTAACAAGTTTTACTTTTTTTATTTGACATAAGAAAAAACAGAGACAAATTTAATTTCTGAATAACAACTTAATTTTATTTTAAAAATGTGTTTTATTTGTTATATAAATTAGGCTATTATTCACCAACATTTTATTTAGTAGCTATTTTATTATGATGTTTCGACCATCACTAGAGCCATTTTCAAGTCTTATTGAGTCCTCCATTAGATATTCATTATTAATTTGTTCAGAGAAAAATTAAATTGTCCTGCTATTTAAGAGTTTCCTCTACGTCATTTCTGGAGGGACTGACTTATATATAAGTGCTATTTAATTTTTCTCTGAACAAATTAATACAACATTAATAATGAATATCTAATGGAGGACTCAATAAGATTTGAAAATGTCCCTAGTGATGGTCGAAACGTCGTAATAAAATAGCTACTAAATAAAATGTTGGTAAATAATGGCCTAATTTATATAACAAATAAAACCTCAAGACACCAATTTTAGAAATAATGAACAGAAGAAAAATGTGTTGTTTTTTTATATGAATATGTTAAAATAGAAACTTTAGATATAAATAATTTTCTGTTTCTTTTGGGGGTAAATGGAAGGGCAACAAAAAGAGCTGGGTCAGAAACCATGGGAGTCACCATTGCAGAGAGGAAGAACTAATCTAAAGTGTGCTAATTAATATTTTAAGCATTTTAACTCTCCTTATAACATAATGATCAGATATGGGTATATTTACAAACAGGCAAACCTGGCTCCTGCCAGGAGCAGTAAACATCAAATGAAATGGTATTTTTAGATTCAAACGAACAGAAATTATGAAAAACAACCCTGTTTATGCAGCACACATAAATATAACAACTATCTCCACTAATGTTTTACTGAAGCAATTCTTTTTTTTTTTTTCAGATGCAGCTGAAAGGGGCGTTATCAGTCATGCTTGAGAATAGTTTCAAGAAATCCACTCCTTCCATCAAATCAATATTTGTAATAACAGAATTGTAAAATAAATATGTGGGTTCCTAATAAAAAAATATACAACATGCTCATTGATAATTTTTTTATTTGACTTTTTAATAGTAGACATTGTCGTCAGTAATTAAAAATACTATATTTTCAGTATATCTGAAGAATATTCAGAAACAGCAAATTAATTTACAATCCATAGAATAAACTAATTCTTACCTTGGCAGACTTACGTCATTTTTTTTTTAGGCGCTATTTAAATTTCATTGCACATAATAAAAAAAATAATAACCTATGGAAGCTGAGTATTCTGTGCAAAACCAAATATTCATTTTACTCCAAAGAGGCTTAGATTTCTAGATAGGTCCATGAAAAAATCTTTAACATCACTTACTAGATAAAAAAATTGATAACTTCAGACAACTCTATTGTAAATAATAAGAGAACAGTAAACTTAAAACAAATTATTTAGGCGGTTAAGACAGTATTTTTTTGTGAATATAAAACAAAACATATTCATTATAGATTGGTCAACATATAATCTTATTTGAATATTTTTTTTTCTTTATAACTGCAAATTATTCAGAAAGGTAATAATAGAATTATGCTAAATCTGGGATAGTTAAAAGTATGAATATATACACACTGTAAGACAAATATAATTAACTAGGCTTACCTTAATTGGTTCTGGTTTCCTTTATGCCTTTTACTTTTGCCACTACATTTTACACTGAACAACAGTTAGTTACGAGAATTGAAAAAATGACTGAACCAATAAAAAAATAAATCTTGAAAAAGTCAACGCTTTATAAGCAAATGGTGATTAGATCCTGTTCTTAGACCATTATTAGATAACTGATTAGCTTATTAATTTTTAAAAAACTCCTGAAGCATATTTATTTTCATGTTATTCATAAAATTCTTAATTATTGATATTGAACAGATGATGTCGAAATTAGGCACCTCTTCAATCATCTTGGAAATTCAAATTTTAGATGTTTAACTACAGAGAGGAGCTCTGTGTTAATTCATTCTTCACAAAAAAAAAAAAAAATTAAGATAATATGATCAATGGTTAAGGGGGATGACAGAAAAGAAGAGGGATGAAGACTAAAATCAACTTTTTTTTCTCTCTTTCCAGTAATTTTTGTTGATTTACTTTTTATAAATTATCTTAGGCAGCGCTATCATTAGGCAGCACCTCAATAAGGCTGTTCATATCATTATTCCTGACTTATTCATATTTACTGGTTGTATTTATTTAATAAAGTTTTAAATCTTAATAAATACATAAAATATTTTGTTACAGTTAATTTTATGAATTGTAATATTTAAAATAAACGTACAAATTACATCTTGTTATGAAACAGAGAAAAAACATAATAAGATTGTATATTGTCTGTCAAGAAATTTAGTAAGCGAAGGAAATAAATACACATATGGTCATTTCTACTTTACAGTATTATTTTTAACTAGCTGTACCCGGCCAAGCGTTGTTGTGGCTCATTCTGGTTAAATAAAAAAAGAAGTAGAAAAGATATCAGATGTTATTAATGTATTTTATTTAACAACACTTGTGAATATGGGATATTCTTTGTTGTTCCATTCTTTGTGTAGATATAGAGATTGTCTGGTTTTCCAATTCTATAATTCGAGACGTATAATGGTTTATGTAAGAAGCAATCGGTCTCTGAATTTCCCAAGAAAAATTACTAAATGTTTAAATTATTATATCTCTGCACCAAACTCTCTGATATTTTTATTTGAAGGGTATCAAAGAAGCTTTCAAATAATAATAGGTATAATCAAACAAAAATTGTGTACTTTTTGAGTTATTCGCAAATATAGTTTTGAATCCATTGTACCTTTTTTTCATAATCTTTTCGGGGAAGGATGTTATATAGAAAAATTAAAAGGGCTTTAAGGAGAAGACTTTAGCCAAGTTTAATTAAAATCGTTATAACCGTTTAGGCGCTAATATATTGCGACATGTTTTTCATCCACCTTTTCAAAATGAAAGACTGGAGGATGATTGAAGGTATATAAAAACACTCCTGAATGTGATAGAAACATTATGTCAATATTTCAAATTGTCAATTGGTGAAGAAGTTTCGGAGATTAGTGGTTTTGAACTAACGAACATTTACGATTTTATTAATTTTAATTAATAATGTTTTTAGTAAACAAGAGAGATCTATGTTTATATAATATAAGTTGCATGTTTACACTAGTGGATCCAGGATTTAATTTTGAGGGCGACCTCAGCCTGAAAGATCATTTTTCACTAACATTCTGACATTATCAGCAGTTAATGACCCTTATATGCTAATATAATATAAATAAAAACAATGCCTAAAAAGGATAAAGGAATTTATCATATCAAAGAAACTTGCTACCTTTATAATCATTTATTCCATACAGTTACAGGGTGGAGAGATCATTTCTCCTATTGCAAACTAACGGCTACTTTACAAGCAAGAAATTGCTTAACAGTACACTAATAGATACAATGAAAATATTAATTTAATTATATTTATAAATTAAATAATGGTCACAAAATATAAAAAACAAAACAATAATAAAACCTCAAATACCTTTATATTCTATTAATATATACAATTTTATAAACAAGATAAATAAATCAAATATGGAACTAAAATATATTAAAAAAAGAAAGAAATAAAAATAGCATCACATGCTATATTTGAGAACAGTAGATCATTAAAATTATTTTGTTCATATCGATAGAACCTTTCAAATAAAGAAGTGGTAGTATAGTGCTTTATCTCTTTGATTTAATTTATATAAATAGGTATTAACACATATAATACTTGATATGAGTACATATTAGAATTATAATAAAACTAACATTACTGGACACACTACTATTTACAATAACTGTACAAAAAAGTAATAAACTTGTATTCATACATATCCAAACAGATCTTCATTCGTTAAGATCAGGCGGTCACCTGGAGTTACATAAATCAAACAGCACATGTGCTATGGTGCGTGATGACTCCACATTACTCAGAGCTATACAAGCTAAAAATGATTCATACCTCATAAGATGCCTTCGTCCATTTGTAGAATAAACAACAAGGTTTCTGAGAATTAGAGATGCAGTTAACCTAATACTTTTAGTAACAGGACCCTCGTTACTAGTTTGCTCAGTTGGAGCAGGAATTGGCGCAGGTCCAGGTTTCACAACTCGTTGTTGTGGATCTTTTATATTTACAATATCCAAGGCATGACGCTTAATAGCATGATATGCAGCATTAGGTCCGTAACCAGGATGGGGCATGGCTGGCGAGGGAGTAGGCATCTCACTTTTCCCTGTTACTGACAATTGTTTCCTTCTAGCAGCAACCATTTTCATTTCATCTGGATTACAGTGCTTATCATACAGATGAGTCATCAATGAAAACCGCTTTCGTTTCATGGCATCACATCTTTCCCATAAACATTGAATTTCTTCACTACCTTGGGGAAGATGAGCTTCACAAGCATGTATATAAACTTCATTTTCAGTATTAAAATTTCGCATACAACCTCTCCATTCGCACAAAAAATGTCTCTGTTCTACAGTAGGTTTAGTATCTTGTTTTACTGACTGGCTTGTTGAACTAACAGAGGGAGCAAAATTTGATGCTGAAGAAGAAACACTGACAAAAGTAGCACAGGGTGCTGGCACTGTAGGTAATGAAACAGTGGGCTGAGAAATAGAAGTACAAACCCTCGAAATACCATCTGGTATGTTACTAGTAGATTTAGGTGGAACAATTGCTCTAATAATATTTGAAGACTGTTGTGTAGTAGATAAAACTGATGGAGGAGACGGAAACTGAAGCCTTATAACTTGTTGTGATGAATTAGAAACAGATGGTCCTTGTGGCTGTAAAATTATGATAGTTTTAGCTGATGTTCCTTGTTGCTGAGTAGTCTGTGCAACGAGTACTGTTTGCTTTTGGTCTTGCCCAATGGTTTTAGATTGAGGCATAACATACTGACCTCCAACAACAACTCCCTGAGTTAACTGTCCTCCAGCTGTTACTAAAATTTGTGTAGGTTGTGTTGTGGCAACCTGCACTGGTCCAGGAGTTGTTTCTTCAAGCGGTTCATCCTCCAGAACATCTGCTGCCAGTGCAGCATATAAATTTGCTGCCGAAGAAGAAACATTAACTTGCTCGGAAGTTTCCTCTACTTCATCTCCATTGAGGTGAGGCTTTTTTGTGACTACATCGTCTTCTTTTTCAAGAGGTCTTTTAGAAGTTTCCCTTTTATCTTCTTTCCCAGGAATACCATTGGATATGATGTTGTCCTCCTTAATCTCTATCAAAGCATCACAAGATGAACCATTTAATACCGATGATTCAGCTTTTAACTCAACTTTTACGTCTCTAAGAGTATTCTCTGAAGACAAACAATTTTGACCAATACTGCTAAGAAAACCATCAATACTACTTTTGGAATTTTCTTCAGTTCCAGTTTCACTGACATCACAACGTATAGAGCTTGAATTGCTAGTGGAGGCTTCTTCAGGTAGAACTGAGTTTGAACTTACGGTATTAACAGGACTACTAAAAACCGTTGATGTTCTAACATTTCCAGAAGCATTATCAGGTTTTCCTAAGATTTCCATGAGAGATCTAATGCCGTTTAGTTTAAAAGTGATACCTTCTTGAGTGGTAGAAGACTGAGATGAATCATCAAATGATATGGAACCACTTGGCTGACTTTCAGTTAATTTTTCTGATTGTTGCTCATGTTGGAGCAGCTGCTGCTGCTGCTGCTGTTGCTGTTGCAACTGCTGTTGTTTTTGATGTTCTGCTATTTTATTGGCCAAAAGTGTTTTCATAAATGAAGTGGGTCCCTGTGATGTACCTTCACCAACAATTTGCATTTTGACAGGGGTTGCAGGTGTTGGTTTAGGGGGTGCACTCAACTGTGCTTTTAAAATTGATGAAGGTGTAGAATGAACAAGGCCCGAGGGAACAGAAGTCAGAGGTTTAATTCTCATTTGTATACCTTCATAAAAATGCTGAGTTAATTCTCCAGAAGTAATTACTTTTGGACCAACGCTTCCTCCAAAAACTGTTCTAACTATACGTGGAAAATGAAGAGGGGCTATCACACCTCTTCTTCCAATTTTAGCACAGTAATTTATGTATTGTTTATACAATTCAGCCTGTTCTACTTTACCATTAGTGTTTGGTTCAAACGTACATCTGAGCCAAGCTAATGCAAACTTCTCATTTTCCTGAGCTATTTGCTCTGTAGCCTGAGCAGAAATAGTAGAAGCTGGAGTAGTAATAATTCTTTGAGTATTTAGAACCACTTGTTGAGATCTCGGTGGAGTCTGGTGAGCAATTCCAACAGAAACTGCTGGAGAAGAACTCTGAGCAGAAAGAGGTGTAGTGTAAGTTGGTTGCGTTTGAGCAGACTGGGAAGCAGCAATTGGTGTAGATGGAGTAGAACTGATACTTGTAGAGGTTTGTGGTTGAGACTGTGAAGGAGGGCACACTGAATTATAATCCCTTACAGTTTCAACAACTCTCATTTGAATACAAGCTTTAGGACCATAACTTTGAGCCTCAACACTTACAAGTGATACAAGTACATCAATGATACCATGGACAGCTAATACTGAATTACAAGCTTTTTCTCCAAGAGCTGTAATTGCATTTAGACATTCTAGAGTACAAACAAGCAACATTATATCATGTAGTGTTAGGAAGGAACAAATACGTTCATAAATTTCTCTTACTAAATGTTTAACTAAAAGTTCTTCATTTAATTCATTTTGGGCTAATTTAGTCAATACTTCAAGTGCAGAGAGTATATCTGCCCTATCCTCTGAAAGCAACCCTTGGTTAGTTAAAGTTAAAACATGCTCCATAATAGGAGCTCTTTCAGTGATCTCTGTTGCAACATTACACAGCATATCCCAACCCATTTGATGTAAAGAGTCCCACCTTGAATAACAACAGAGAATTATAAAACGTAAAAATGTAGTATCTTTACCCATCAAAACCATATTTTCATTCACAAATGTTAAATTGCGTAAAATGGCAGCAATTTGGCACACTCTCTGTCCTATATAATCTTGAACTCCTAAAGTTCTACCTAAACAAAATAATTCTTTGTCCTCTGGTTCAAAAGTCAGTCCAGTTTTATTTGAAACAGCATCACTTCCGTCTTCCACCGCATCCTCCCATTCTATATACAAAGACTCATCAGTCAACTTTAAAATACTTTCATCAGTAATAATATCACGCCATAAATGACTCATAGAATGGCCTCGATATTTTCCATATATTTCATGGAAAAGTGCTCTAAGACTTGGATTATGAAATACAGCAGCATGAGCTAGTAAATAATGAAGAATTCTTGAATGTTTCTTAAGTTTTAAACAGTGCTTTCCTTCGTTGGACAGTAAGGTGCACACATTAATAGCAAAATCTTGTTCATTAGGTAAAGGTGAAATCAGTGATAAAGATAGTTTATCATATTCAGAAGGTTGATACAAAGAAACAGACAAACCGTTAGTTGCCCTCAGAGATTCATTTACACTGTGTTGAGTATGGTTATAAGTCATAGGGATGGAATGTAATGCTCGAGCTGACCACTGTCTATGTCTACTAATTTCATCATCATCAACACCAAGTTCTCCGTGAAAATGAATCTTTTCATATCTATCAAGATACCTTAAATATATTTGTTTGATAGCAACATCACTATTAACACAATGTTTGGGAATGTTGAATTCATCTAATACTTGATCCCATTCATTTCTACTATTAACTTTAACCCAACCTCCTTTGCCAGTAACAATGGTATACAACAAATACAAATCAACTTCATACCCACTTATTTTTGGTATTTTCCTGGAAGGAGTTCCTCTAGTCTCATGAAAATGAAATAGCTCCTTGATAAACCTCTCTTTTTCTTTTTCGTAAGTTGTTTTGTCGTCATTAAGTTGCGTCGCCATGGTAGAAACACTATTATTTAAGTTATCCCTCATAACCGATCAATGAAACTGCATTAAAAACTAATAATGAGTTAATAAACGCTAAAGAAACATGAACCATATCGGGAATACCCACAACAATAACGAAGGTTACTAACTGGTTACCTAATTCTATTCATCGACGCCTAAACAAAAACTAGCTAAATCTAGTGATTAAAAAATAATCTTTTCAGGACTAAATACCTTACAGTATTTAATTTAAATTTAAATTTTATCATTTTGGGTAACAAAGCTGTTTTTTTTCTCACTGCTGACTAATACAAATTTAGAATTTATTGACTATTTTTTCTTCATTTTGCTGAAAATAATAAAATGTCTTGTTAGAATGGAAGACACCATAGCGAGATTCAATAATTGTATACAATGTAAAAAATATATTAAAATACAGACTCTAAACATTTTATCAATTATAAAATAAGTGATAGTTACCGATTTAACCTCAATAATAATATTTTCTTCATCTTTCATCTAAAAAGAATGAAAAGTTTCTATATTTTAAAAATTATTTATTATGTAATTCACAAAAGAACTAGAGTATCTAGAAAATTAGGTGTTTTAGTTCCATCAATGTGTTGCTCTGCTTATTACGAAAAATGCCACACAGCTTTGCTCTTAACATTAATTAAGAGTATATAATTAATGTAATAGACGTAATTAAGAGGATATGTCAATTTTATTATATAGATTTTGTTTATGAATCAGATAAACTGTAATGTTCCAAACAAAGAATATATATATGTACATCGCTAGTTCGGAAGATGACATTACTAAAACATTAAGGATTTTCCACAATCATTTTCAACATGATTATTTTATTTTATTTTTTTAGTGTAAGAGTATCACAAAATATATTCATAATTTGGAGGATTGTATTAATTTTAAACTAATGAAAAATTCCACAATATTTTGGATAAAAGTGTTATGTTTCTAAGTAGTAGTTATATAAATGCCGCTTATAGGAAGAGGTTACGGACGTGTGGTCACCGATTTCAATGAAACTTTTTTTGGTGATACTAGGTCGAAAAATATTAAACCTACGTCCGAGGGTTCTTGTGTAATGCATCCTGGGAGCCGAGAAAAATAATGTTTTATTAGGTTACTGTTTTCTGATTTCGCTCTGAATGTATTTATAAGTTATATATCAATAGATTTATGAATTATAGATACAAATATATATATATATATATAGATTTTTTTGTGTAAAATAAGAAAAATATATTGCTTATTATATTAAACGAATTCGTATATATAATAAATTACAAAAACCCATAGACGCTACCAGTAAAATAAGCCAAGTAATATTAGTAATAAAAAATCTATTCAGATTCGTTTTTAGAGATCACTAAAACTCTTAAATACTAGTTGAAATAAAATTTGTACATTTTTGGATGTAATTTTATGGTAGGATTTTTTTTCAAGCCGTTTAATAAAATATTCGTAACTCCTCAGGTTTTTCTTTTAAGTCGACTTTACTACAGCTGTTAGAAAGCTAAATTATTGCTCTTCAAAACTAGATCGATAACTTTGATATTCCACGCTTTTTAAAGGAATAAATAATTAGAAACTTCCTAAACGTTTTTATTTTTTATATCCAAGCCTAATGTATTTTCGAGATTCTGTTTTGTGCCATTATGTGTACATTATAGGCCCCCAAATTCATGCTAATTTTCGTGTGGATAAGTGGAGCAATGTCGAAGTTATCACAACTATTGTGATTTTCAAAAAAAAATTTAAGGGCTCTAGCCTAGGTGGAAATTTTGAGCAAAAACATTTATTTTTCGATTAGTATGCAAATTCCAGCGAATTTCAATGATGTAAGCGAAATTCAAATCCCAACTTTGTTTCACCTTAAAAATATATTTGAACCTACTTTACTCCTTAGATCAGTACTATACACTAGCGGATCCAAGATTTAATTTTGGGGGGGGGGCTTCAGCCCAAAAGCTTTTTTTTCATAAAAAAAAGAAAGAAACTAACAACCTGTATGAAACTGTGTTTAAGTGATTCCTAAAGCCCTTTTAATATTAATCACACGAACAATAATACTTTAAGCGATACTTTTTTTATATTTTTTTCGATAAAACGTGGTTATATTTTACCATTTTGGGGGGCTTCAGCCCGAAAGCCCCCTCCCCCCCCGTAGATCCGCCCGTGGTACTATATGTTTCAACATTGAACACATAGCTATGTGCCAAATATAATTTTTTTCTAAACTGGACGGACATAAAATGTAAGATTACATTAAAAAATTCTAGTATTTTGTCGAGATTCAATCCGAAAATAAAAATAAAGCATTTATTGTACATATGATACATATATTACCCCATCAAATATAATTTTTTGGGATAAAAAAATATGATATTAATTTTTTCGCATCCCTAAAAACCCTTAAATAAGCATTTTCGTTACAATTGAAAAATGTATATGAACATTACTTGATAAATATTCTGTCATTATATTAGCACCACTGAAATAACAAAAACCCTATTAATTATATCAACGGTAGACAATAAAAACGTCGGTACTCCATCTGTTTTTGTAAACCACATAACTCCAATCTCTGAGCAATCTGTATATGTCTAGAGAGATTTGAATGTATATCTCTATATTCAATCTATAAATATATGTAAACCGTAGTATACGTTGAGCACGTGCCTTTATTGTTGTCATTACCACCGCGTGTATAATTTCGCTACCTTTTCAAATTATTTCATTTATTATAATTCACATTTCACTACGGTTTGTTGCTGGAAAAATTATAGTACTAGTTTCACAGCGGTTTTGGCCGAATAAAATACGTGGAAATGTCATTACCAAGTTGAAAACTCATTTCATACCCACAATCGAATTATTAGCTTTACTTACTTTAATTACTGAGAAAAAAGCACCTCTGATCTTACCCATTTGCTCAGATAAAACTGAGCGGCAACAATAGGTGTAGGTAATCAGAAAATTGTATTAACATGCCATCAAAATTATTAAAATTTTATCATGAAAATTGCCCATAATCTGAGAATCACCCACATAGTTTGTCAACATTTTCGTTATTTGAGTGTTGATTGAAAAATAGAAAATATATAATTTATTTCCTGCTTAATATTAAATATAAATTTCTATATTTTTGTGATTATATTTAACTTTATTAATTTAAATCACATTAAATCTTTACATATTAACTTTTTTAATCCTTTTTATTAAATAAAAGGTGAAATCATTCATCAGCTGTTAACTTAACGTAATATTGATTTGCTGTTGAATTCTTAATTATGGAATGCTTTTTGTGTACATTTTTGAGTGAAAAGTCCAAATTTCGAGAAAAAGGGAGGTTGTAAAGGAATTTTTAAAAGAAATATGGCTTTCGTCGATCTAACATTGTTAACAGTTAGAGCCAGTACCCTCCACCATTTACAAATTTTAAAAAACAAAGGAAACTAGTTAAAAAAACTTGAGTGCAGTTAAACATTTCAAACATACATTTTAATTATAAATAATTACAATGTCAATAAATGTTTTCTTAGACAATTTTTTCACAATAATCCCGAAAAATATAATCAAAACATTTGATCTAACATTTTTTTTTCTCATTTCTTTGAAATTGAATAATATTACACTCTGTCACAATTAAGGACATTAGCAATAGTGATAGAGTAGCTCATTCATACTGTAAATAAAAATAAATTAAACAGCAAAACAATAATACTAAAAATAAATGTATATAAACAAAAATAAAAAATAAACTAATCAAAATAACAATATAAATAAAGGCAAACAATACAATAAAGATGAGAAGACTGAAAGTTCTAGAATGATGCATTTATTAATTACAAGTATAAAATGTTTTTTTTTATTTAGCTCGACCGATGTAAAGTATCGAAATCCTATTTTTTTAAAAATTTCCGTTGTATGTAAAGTAGAGAAAAAAAAGTATCTATTAAAGTGAACATCAGTACAGCAACATTCGATTAATGAAATTATTACTTACTTTAAGAATGGCTGACACATAACTACTTCACTTTTATTAAAGTGTATTCATATTTTATTAAACGTTTGACGGCCATTTAAAAACTTAAAGTTTCTCTACTTCAATTCGAACTTATAATAATTAAATGCAAAATTCTATTATCTACAACTTGTATTCAATATATTTTCATCCATAATAGCCGCTTTTAAGATAAAAGACTGGCAATGCCTGTAAAAGAATTTTTAAAGAAAATACGTAGATCATACGTTTTATTAATGAACATTTTGATTCTTCTGCCTACCCGAATCCGATGTTTGAGGAACCCATTTGACGCAGAATTTAATGTTGTTTAATTCATAATAGAATAAAGTTTTTTTATTGAGATACGCCATTTAAAAAGTACATGTAAAACACTGAAAACAGTAAGAAAAAATAGGAGAATTTTAAATATTGGGGTCACCCCTTCCCCCCTTTCCGCCTTGGTCCCCTTCTTAGAACGGAACAAACTTAAGATATTATTATCTGACAACCAATGAATAGATTAACATCATATCTAGCTTTCGAAAACTCACTACCAGCCGAAGCTGCCAAACAAAAGGTTTGGTGGAAAAATAATTTATGTCTTATTTTTATAGGTTAAACCAAACGCTCCAATATTTTTGTAGGACACTACATTATTTTATCGTAAAATAGCTCACTTATCATCTGTGCTACGTGGCCTACGGATGTTCATAAATTTTCACAACGTCGTCCTGACGACATGTTGGGGTTGTAGGTCACGCCAAACGCTCCAATATTTTTGTAGCCTGCTATGACAATTTGATTGTACTCATCTATATAAATCATTAATGTGAAAAAAAGCCGAATGTTCATAAATTTTCACAACGTCGTTCTGATGACATGTTGGGGTTGTAGGTTACGCAAAACGCCCCAATTCCGAGAATATTCGTAGATAAAATATCATAGGTTACAACAAAATGAATAAAGCCTTTTAAAAGATGTATAACAAAAATATTATGCAAAGATAATGTACAAGTATAATGTAATATATGTAATGTTACCTATACCTTATATTAATTAAAATTTATAAGTTAAAAAATAAACCCTTTTTGGCTTGACCGGACAGCGCAATTACAAACCTAATTTGATTAAGTCATCTCAACTATCAAAGTTGAAATTTCATTTCAAGCCCTGCCGAAAACTAACATAATTTAACGGAAAAACAATGTCTCAATGGGAGTTAAATGGAATCATTTATAATTACTTTTAAGCTCGAAAAATAAAAAAACATAAAATGAATCGAATTATTGCAGACATTTAATAAATCATGTAGGCTGGTAAGTGAAAGTTGTGTGATGCAAGCATTTTTGATTGTGATGCACGCCAATTTTTAAAAAATATCATCAAGCATTTTAAATAAAATAATAATGATTCACATTAACTCACTTTGATGTACTCTACGACTTGCAAGTAACAGAAGTCAATAATAAAAATTATTTTTCTTTTGATGGGCACCCAAAAAAGCCGGAAATCAAAGAAATATAAAAACTACATAGCTATTACCAATTTAATACTTCAATGCTACTGGTTCTAGTATTGGTGGGGAGACTTAGTCCAGCAAGTGGGCCTATTGGTCCTTTTTGCCAACCCTCAAACCTCTGTCTCAACCTAACTCTGTCTCAAACCTTTTTGTTCTTCTAATGAAGTACAAACGGTTGGACCAATTTATGAAGGTAGTTTTGTATACTTGTATTCTGTCTGCGCCCAGTAGTTTGTATCTGAGTGATGTAAATCGGTGGTCACATTCTGCAATGAAGTGGAGGGTAGTTTCTGCAAAGATTGCAGAGTTCATCATCTTCTATACCACAGATTTTTAAATGTCTTTTAAGTCTGCAGTGGCCTGCTAGTAGTCCGATGATGAGTAAGATTTCTTTTTTAGTTAGGCCCAGCAGCCACTTAGTTTTGGAGGGAGAGGATCTTTTGATTAATTATTTGGCTTGTCTAAGCGCAATGATTTCCTCCATTCTTTACCTGTTTTTTTCCAGGTCCAATCAAGGACTTCTTTCTGACATCAATTCTAAACCTATTCCTATTATTTTTGTTAATTAGTTCAAGAGCCCGTGGGAAAAGAAATTTGACCAAGTTGTAGAATATACTGATGCAAACTACATTAGCTTTAAATTCAAAATCTGTGACTTTGCCAATCAAGATGGGAAAAGAGGAAAAATTGAAAATTGCGGCTGTTCTAAAATGTTATTTTTTTTTATACCGGTACGTTTTTTCCTTGACTCGATTACATACGATCATCGTAAGATGGGGATACCAAGGTCGATGGCGCTAGAACCAACCTCCTCCCCCTTCCGTGATATTGTATTGCTCTTCTTTTCATAAAAACAGAGCAAGGAAAAGTATAATTAGATAAATTGTAGCTCATACACAATTACACTTGCTGTGGCATGTTTTTAATTTTCTTCTTGTTCCTTATTTTGAAACTTTTCGTTCCGAAAATTCCTAACCCATTTGAAATTGCCCCTCTAAAAAATTCAATAATCCGTCAAAATATGCCCCCTTATAATATGTTATGGCGCAACTTGCACCATAAACCCCCTTCTGGGCGCTTACCACTTTACTCCTGTTCTCATAAATTTCAACTATTTGTCTGGTAAGATGGTTAGGGTCCCTTCTTTTGATATGCCCATAAAAAATGAGTCTACGTTTCCCATGTCTCTGTAAACATCTTCACATTGTTTGATTTCAGCATTGTTCCTAATTCTATACTACTTGTTTGATAATTCTGGACCCATAATTTTCTGTATGATTTTTCATTTGTTTTTTTCTCACGCTATCTATATGTCTTTTTTAACTTTTCAAAATTATGGTTTCTGATCCATAGAGATATTCTAGCTTGATTACTTTATTGTGGTGTCTAGAAATTCTAGCATGTTTAGAAATTCATTTTTTTTGTAAACATTTTGAGTCAAACGATGTGTTGCTTAATTTGTTGACATTATTGGCTTTTGTTCCAATCTCATTTTCATGTATCATTTCTCCAAGGTATTTAAATGTATTAGTTTATTATAAAATTATATAAATATTATTCATAAAATTTGTTTAATATTATGAATATAATTTTTGTTCTGTTAGCATTCCGAAAAATAAATCCACACCAGGCCTCAGTTACTAAGGGAGCCTCCTTGAGGTATTTTTTTTTAGGTGCCTCAAAATATATTCTCCCTGAATTCCAAATAATCTAGGTAAGGAACAGAGCTTACCACGTATGACGTTTGCGATGGACAGAAACGGGATAAACACATAAATTTTGGTTTTATGGAAATTTTTTTTTTTTATGAAGTTGTATTTTATAAAATCAGAAATTTTATCAACACACCTACTATTATAAAAACTTGATATGTCATTAACAAGCAGAGGCACAGAAAAGGCGTTTTGAGTATCTTTTGGTTTCCTGACTATAGTTATAGATTAAAGAATAAAATTTGATTTAGTGTGAATGTTCCAGATGAGTTTTTTGTCCAAGTATTTGTGTTTTTGAGGGAACTGGTTTATTGTCTATCATCACAGCAGGACACGATATCTTCCTCAGGGAGAAGTTAATATGAGTTGACTTGCTGGGATTGATTTTAAGTCTCCATTTGTGAAACCATTTTTCAAGGTCGTGCAGGTGATTTTCAAGGGCTATTGAAGCCATAGTGGGATTTTCGTGAGAAGAAAGTAATGGCGTATCATCAGCAAAGCTATAGAGAATGGTGTTAGGGTGCTCAGGGATATCAGATGTGTAGATAGAAAATAGAAGAGGGCTTAAAACACTACCTTGTGGTACGCTCGCAATTTGAGGAAAGAAGGGAGAAGTAGAGAAATCAATAGTAATACAGAAGAACCTGCCAAGAAAGAAACATTGAAGTATCAGAAAGTAAGTTAAAGGAAGGTGTGGTTTTATTTTCCACAGTAAACCTTTGTGCCAGACGCTATCAAACGCTTTCTCGATATCCAGGAATATCGCTGACCAGAATTCTTTATTTTCGAAGGCGACATATAGCGTCTACTATACGATGACACTGTTGTATAGTGGAATGGTAAGAACGAAAGCCAAATTGATAATTCGGAATAACTTCCCTACTTTCTAAGATTGGCTTTATTCTAAGAAGAAATAATTTCTCAAAGATTTTCCCCATTATAGGTAAGAGTGTAATCAGACGATAAGAAGAAAGGTTACTGGTAGGTTTAGAAAGCTTAGGTATCATTTTTATGGTAGAAAGTTTCCAAAGGAGAGGGAAGTAAGTTGTGCGTAAGATAGCATTATAGATGTGAGTAAGAAAGATAATGGCTTTTCGAGGTAGAAAAATTATATAGAATTAAAAAGGATCTGAATCTAATTTGAGAAGAAATAGTAAAACTCCTAAAAATACCAAGTAATATCTCAATATCTTATATACTTATACCAATTAATAAATTTCAATTTATTAATTCATATATCCATTACAAAGGTGGACGTTTAGATTTAATCAATATTTATACACTTAATAAACACATTTAATAATTTTAGTTTAAATATTAATAGAATCATTTGTTTCTTGCAAAACAATAGTTTAGATATATTCTTTTGTTGATAAGCTGATGGCAATAGGTAACAGATCATATAAATGGGTTTAGCTAATTTTCATTTATTACTTTTTCTTATACTTTTTTTTGTTTGTTGCAAAATAGTATATTTTTAGCATCTGTTTTTATAATCGATATTTAAATGCCTAGAATCAATTTAAGAGCTAAGTTACATTTAGAGAATTATACGTTATTTGTTACATAATGTTACATATCATTGATTAGTTGAAGTAAAAAATTAAGTTTGTAATAGGTAATATTTTGGCCCAAAAGTACACCTATATGTTAGTAGACCTAGGCAGAATTTATTTGAAAAAATATTTCAGGAATAAATCATTTAGTGCTCTTGATAAGTTATTTGAAGAATAATTTGTTATGACTTGAATCTTAGTTCCCTCGAAAGAACTACATTTTATCACATTTTACTGTATGAAATTAAACATTTCTAATTAGTGTCATTTAATTTATGAATTCTAAAAAACAGTCCATGAACAGGAGTAGTAGAAATAACTTTAGGGTTCAGCTTGATTTCATGATCACACTTAGGACTTAATTCGAGCTTGTATTTATCTAATGTTCTTGCCAAAGTACTATACATAATAATTTCAGCAAATCGTTTTCCTGTAACAATAAAGGTAAAGATAAAAAAGAATATACATAAATAATTTATGTATCTATGATATTTTAATTCCTTAATATAAATAGAACATTATAATATTAATCAAGATTATCTTAAAATATTTAAGAACCACTGTATTCCCTTACACATTTTATCAATGCATTCTTTTATAATTATATATTTTCTTGCAACATTTGGGCTCCTTTAAAAAAAAAAATCTGATATTTTCAAATAATTTTACTGTAAAATATTAATATTAAAATAAGAGGGGAGGCATGTATATATTACAACATTTTTATATTATTTATTGAACATGTCAACTGTATTTTTATATATTAATTTTCTTTAGTTTTTTTGTTGTTTGTGCACTTTTTATTTTTTCTTGTCCATTATTGTATAATTTGTCATCAGAAAGTATGAATTGGGTTAAGAAGAGAGAGGGGAAAATAAGAGAAACTTATAAGGGGAATAAAGGAGAAGGAAAATAATTGGAAATAGAATGTTAATAATAAAAAAATAAATAAATAAAAGAAATAGTGAGAAAATAAAAAAAATACTTTTTTTTTACTATGTTCATATATATATATATATTTATATATTGATGATACTGTAAATTTGTATATTAGTTTTAAGAATTGTCTATTGCATTGATTGATAAATATGCTATATCTTTAGCAATCCTACATAATTGGGCAGTGCCCTTTTATGAAAATAAAGTGATTCTCTCTAGTATAATTTTATCTATTATGAAAAATAATAATGTCAATATTTTTGTTAATATCTTTTTAATACTTTTTCACTTTTATTGTATTTTTGATGTTAAAGTAATTTCATTTATAAAGATAATTCAAGACATCTTTTTAATAATTGGATATTTTATCTATTCGTGTTTAGTTTTCTAATTTATTAATATTTTAGAAATAGTTTATGTAAACTGCATTTACTTTAGAAATTTTTATTTATCAATATATGAACAAATTCAAATTATTTTTATTCTGTTGGAAATTATTATTATTAGTTGAATGAAATCCTTGATGAATTTGTACTAAATGAACTTTAGCATTTTTAAAAATTAAATATAATAGATCAGGCTAAAATACTGGACATGATTATTCATTCTACATCAAAAGAAATGATAAATGAAATGAAGTTTGTTAAAAATTTCAGAATATTTATTATTTGGTTTTCACGGTATCTATGTTGCAGCCCTGAAGATGAGTCAGATGATTGTGTCAAAACTTCGACTTCAAATAGAAAATTGACCTTGTTATGTTTACCTATGCATATTCTTGGTCCATCTCCAAAAGGCAAATAGGTTCCACTGGCTGGTGGATTTTCAAACCTTTCAGGTTTATATTCCATAGGTTCTGCAAAATTTTTAGGGTCACGATGTATCGACATAATAGGCACTATAATTCTCATTCCTTTATCAATGAGTGTTCCATCAAGTAAGTTATAATCCTTTGTACATTCTCTGATTACCACAGCTATTGGTGGATATATTCTCATTGTCTCTGGAAAATATCACAATGTATAAAATTTAAATAATTTTAATATGATTTAATAATTTTATAAAATAATTTATAAAATGACTATAAATATGTATTGAAACCTGTAGGTTAGGACTTCACCTTTATAATAATAATAAAAACATACATTTGGTCACAACAGTCCTTGGTAATATTTCAAGGGAAGAAACCTTTAACTAATATCATCATTTTTTCATCAAAGGTTTCTTCTCTTAAAAATAGCTTAACGGCTGAAACATTGGTGTAGAAAAAGAAATAAAGCAGAATGTTTTTTTTATTATAACATTAGTGTTATAATTTGATTATAACTATAAATTATATTCTTGACACGTGGTTAAATTCAGCAGCTGCCTGTATACGCACTATAGTTTAACAAGTGTGCATATTATGATTGCTTCATTATATATATCTGAGACAATTCACAGTAACAAATATGGACCAAAAAAAAAATTCTATTTGGTGAGGGCTTCAGCCTTTCCTCTTTCCCCTGTGAATCTGTTCATTGTTAGCAATAAATAAGGATGATTAGATTTAATCAAAGAATTAGGTAATTATTGAAAGTCAAAACAAAAGAACTGTTAGCTAAGTACAAAATATATTTGAAATTTCATATTTTAAATATGGTTGAAACATTGGCTCCAATAAAAACCTTAAAAATGACTGCATCCTAAATATGAAATAAAATAATAGAAATCATAAAAAAAAAAAAAAAAAAAAAAATGTTTTCTGCAATAAGTTAAATATGAACTATCTACTCTTTATATGAGAAATACAATGCTTCCCTATCTTCGGTAGTAAGGAAGCAAAAAAAAAATTACCTGAAATACAATTAATCAAGAATTTTAGCTCCTTTAAGGAATCAAATGTAAAATGTCCGTATTTTGCTTTAACCTCTTGTACCTCTTTTCTTGCTCTCTCTTGTATTTCCTGATGTTTTGCCAGGAAATAATATGTGTAATATAGTGTAGTAGAAGTAGTTTCAAATCCAGCCAAGAAAAATAAAAATGAGTTTGCAGCTAATAAGTTATCTGTCAACTCTAAAAAAAAAAAATGAATTACAGATCGAGACCAAGTTCTAGATTGAGGTTAATAAAAATAAATTGAGAGTGATCCATTACTTTATGAAAAACAGAATATAATGTAGTTTAACTTATTAAAATGGTTTTATAAAAGATGAATTATACATGCCTTTGAATAAAATTTTGTCTAGTTTATTATGGAGTAATTGTTTAGTTGCCTAAATAAAATATTTGTTTATCACTTCCTGTTCAACAAAAAATGTGTTACTAAAAAAAAACACAAAACTTATCAGATAAATTTTCTACTTTTCTCTTTTCTGTGTATAATCAAACAGTAATCTTAAATGTAAATTTTTTTTTTAGCTCTTGAGATTTATCGTTACCTCTTTAAATATTCCCTTTACTTACGGGACACTGGATATTCTGGTAAATCAGTAAAGAAAATTAATTATAGCATAAAAAATTATTTGCTTGTGTAATCACTAAAAGATTGATTCATCTGTTCAACTTATTATTGATTTAGGATATTTGTAAAATTGGTATTTATTGAGTACATATTGTTTCGATTTAGACTTGTATCAAAAAAGATATTTTTATCACATTAAATTATTAACTTGGTTTGATATTCTTTTTCCAAAACAGTTTTTAAGAAAGGGGTGTGTTCTCTGGTTTGACAGTTTTTCCAGAAACTCCACAAAAATTATTCATCCCAAAAATTCAGAGCTGTAGTCATCAGTTGAAATAACTAATCAATGAAACTTACCTATTATCTCATTGTTAGATTCTGTATTCGTTTTATTTGTATCTATATTTCTAGAATCTATCCCAACTGTTCCTTTTTCTTTCAGTTCAAGAAATAATTGGACAAAATCTTTTCGTATAATTCCTGTACTTCGTCTATGATGCAAAATTCTTTTTGTTGTCGATAGGAAAAAATTTCTTAGTTTTTTCGTTAATGTTTTGATCTTAAACCAGATCAATAAACGTGGTATTGAAAACCGCAAAAGAAATATAGGCATGTTTATACTTTCAGGATCAACAATTTCTCTTCCAATATCTCGAAATATCCAGTCAGGATTTTTTAAGGCTTGAGGTTCAACTCCGAATCCACAGGATGCTAAAAATGTTTATAGAATTAATGCTTTGTAAAACTGTATTATTAAAGAATTGTAAAATTATTAAAGAAAAAAATCCGTTGCCTTATCCACTGATACAAAAACTATTATTTAACGAAATTATTAGTGCAACATTTGTTGATATGTTTTTTCCTGCTAGCATGAATCTATTTTTCATGCTAATGAAAATTAAAATGTCTATAAAGATGTATACCTTTCTCCATAGGTATGGTAATTGTCACCAACTATATAAAACAAAAATTCATTGGCTGCAGCATACAACTTCTTCTCTCTGCATGTCCTGGTATCTTCTGGCATTAGTTAATCCAGAATTTAATTTTGAGAGGGGCTTAATTTTTTTAGCTATCTCCCAAATACAATATTTTTTCGAAACAGACAAGTTATTTAGAGTAAGGTTTTTTTTTTAGGCAGAAATAAAATTTATATTCATATTCGTTTTTCGCACAGGGACCATGCCAGTCTCAATTTGACCTTGAAGTTAAGAATAGGTTTGAAGCTTTAGAACCTTCTGAAGAGGACTGGATGACATAAACAAGTTATGGGTATTGATCAGTTATAATATTAATGAAGTCGGTAACTTATGACTTGGAAAAAATAAACATGGTTTGATGAAGATTTCATAAACATATGCGAAAAAAGAAAATCCGTTAAAATAAAAGCTCTAAATAATCCTAGCGAAAACAATCTTGAATACTTCCAAGCCTTAAAGAATGAGACTACTAAATTAAAAATAATAGATAGAGAAAATAATAGAATCGAAAAGAACGTTAGAGACATATACATAATAAATGCTTAGGACCCGTAACGACTGGAATTAGGGATGAAAATAACAATATCCTCACTGATCCTATAGAAATATTGAGTAAGTTTAAGAAACACTTTGGCAATATTTTAAATATGAGAAATAATGATCTGTGTCCTCCTTCAGAGAACCAGAGTGCCGAACCGTTAATAGAAGAACCAATTAAACAGGAAGTTGAAATAGCTATCAAAAAATTAAAATCTTATAAAGCATGGGGAACCGATGATATAACTAGTGAACTAATTATGGCATGCAGGGAAGCTAGAGTTTATAAAATAAATTTTTTGGTTTTAAAAATATGAGAGAATGAGAAATTGCCTGAAGAATGGAAAGAATCTATTCTTATTCGGATTCACAAAAAGGGTCCGAGGGCGACTTGTAATAACTATCAAGGAATTTCAATGAATATCAAGGAATACGCCGAGGAATTATCGGAGATTACCAATTTGGGTTTAGGCTGAACCGTTCGACTATCGATAAATATTTTCTTTACGACAAATATTAGAGAAAAAATTAGAGTACAACGGCGTTGTTCACCAGTTGTGTATTGATTTCAAAAGGGCTTACGATTCTATTGACCGCCAAAAACTGTATAATATTTTAATCGGGCAAGGGATCTTTAAAAAAAAAGTGAATCTAGTTGGGATGTACTTGACGGAAACACTCAATAAAGTTAGAATCGGTTATTATTTATTCGAGAAATTTGATGTTCGTTCGGACTTAAAACAAGGTGATTCTCTTTCACCTGTCCTATTTAATTTGGCATTAAAACATGCCATTAGAAAGGCGATACATGCCGAAAAAGGTTTGAATCAGGGTGGAACAATATCCGTGCTTGAGTATGCTGATGATTTGGTTATGTTATGCGAAGACATAGAAACAATAAAACTAAATACAACAACGTTGATAGAAGCTGGCAAAGAACTAGGACTTCAAGATAAATACGGATAAGACAATATGATTAGCTGCAAAAACAGCGACTATTTCGATGATATGAATGTGTTTAAGCACGTACAGAATTTTAGGTATCTAAGGTCTACGATAACTAGATAAAACGAAATTGAAGAGGATATTAAGATTAGGCTGAAGACGGCAAATGATTGTTATCTTTTTTTGTCAAAACTACTTAGTTCTCGCCTTCTGTCTCGGATCTTAAAAATTAGAATTTACAAAACCATTATCCTACCAGCGGTTCTTTACGGATGCGAAACGTGGCCGCTTACATTAAGGGAAGAGCAACGTCTTAAGATTTTTGAAAATAATGAATTGCGCAGAATATTCGGACCGAAAATGGACGAGCCAACCGGAGAATTTAGGCGGTTACACAACGCTGATTTGCGTGAACTGTATCCGGTTAATATAATTAAGATGGTTAAGTTGAGGCAAATAAAATGGGCGTGTAAAATCGCTGGGCTTAGTAACGAAAGAATTCCTAAAAAGTTAATATGGGCTGTACAGACTGGCAAGCGTCCGAAGGGTAGCCCAAAGCGAAGGTTTGGTTTAGACAGTGCCCTGGAGATGGAAGAATGTGAACATCGATTGGTGGTATCGGCATTGAACCTTCAGGTTCGCTTAGCATTATTATTATTCATTTTCCACATTCTGAAAACCTCTAAAATAAGATTTCTAAAAAAATTCTTTACTTTAAATACCCGGCCGGTTACGAAAAGATATATTTGACAGATGGCTATCTTATAGGAATAAATTGACCTACTGCCGTGGCTATAGGGGTAAATATTTTTTTGGGGAGAGAAACAAAGTTGATATTCGTATTTCGTATGCCAAAAACGAATTTTATAAAATATAGATACGAATATAATACGAAATTAATTAACTATATAATAAGGGGGCAGGGTGGCCGAATGGGCTAAAGCGTGTGCATAGCACCGCGAGTTGCCTGGCAACCAGATATATGAAGATTTGAGTGACAAGAAAAGTACGAGTTGGCGTCCTGGTGCCGGAGGGGATTTTAAATTCCTCGCCCTCACCCTCCGGCCCGGGAAAATCCCATATAGCCTAAACGGCGAGGTAGGGAAGAACAAAAAAAAAAAAAAAAAACTTTATAATAATAACTAAAATTTTCATAGCAATTGAAACATTAAAATATCTTACATGGAATTTATGCCTAGGATTGACCCTTAGCAATTTTGTCGGCATACTAAAGAAATTGGGATGACCTCAGAACGACCCCGCCGAATCGCACGAAAATTATCAGAGACTTATTGTTCTGAATATTACACAAGATGGTACAATCGCGACCTCCGTAAACAAATTAGAACCAGAAATATAAAATAAAAATGCTTGAGAAGATTTTTTAAATTTCGAGCTGTGAATGAGGAGTGAATTCCTAAATATATTGATTTGGTCAAAAAGAGCGGCAGTTCAGCTTTCCAACGGTTGTACTAACACTGAATTTAGATAAAATCTTGAGATTTTATCCATGCTTTCGTTGACGGCCGGAAAAAAACAAGTCCCCAAGAAAATCAAGAAGTAAAATTTGCAATTGCAATAAAAATTCTTATTTATGAGTTTTAAAGAACACTAAAAATGAATGTAACTTTCGTTTTCATAGCGAAAATTTACTTGGCCTATTTTACTGGAAGTCTCTTTTAGTTTTTGTGATTTGAGATACTTAATTACATTACATTGAGATAATAAATTACTTAATACATTTAATACTATAATAAATATTTTTGTCTTGTTTTGCAGAAAAAAGTAATATATAATAAACTCAAAATCTGGAGAAAGCAAAAGCAAAAATTAATAACAAAATTTTGTTCGAAATTGTAAAAGATATTGTTTTTATAGGTACCTCGGGCGCATTGGCAAGAACCCTCGGACATGGATCTAATATTTTTGGACATGACATCACCAAAAAAAGCTTCATTGAAATCGGTGATCAAATGTCCGTAACCTCCACGTGTCAGTTCGATTGATTTGAGTCGCCTCTGTTAGAATTATAAAATTATATCTATAGAGAATGTAACAACTTACCAACCACGTCTGTAACGAATCTCGCCAATAGATCTTTGATGTCTGCATCCTTTCCATCTGCAAATTCAGAAAGACATTCATCGAAAGTATTTGAACATTTTTCTATTTCTTCGTACATCCACTTCAGCTTAATCTGGCTGAAAAGAGAAGCCATCTTACATCTCAGATATTTCCATTTGTTCCCTCTCATAAAAAAGAGGTTTTCATCGAGAGGGTTCGTTTTCACGTCCACCAGAAAACTCCTGTCGACAAAATGGTCAAAAGAGGTCTTTAGGATATCTTCGATGTATTCTGGATCTCGGATCATAAGCGTTGGAAGTATTGCATGGAAAAATCCTCCATATTTTTCATGTTCTAGTTTTTTATAAATTCTTTCCCAACTTTCGGCTGTCAATAAAGAGAAATATATGAAAGATATATTTAACTCATAGAAATTAATAAACCACAAAATCATTATACATTGTTATTCTCTATATATCTTAACTCATTTTCAATGAGAATGATACAATAAAATAATTACTTAAAATTTGACATACAATAAGTTCATATATATTTCTAACTTCTTTTTATTAATTATTAGCTGAGCACTGAGCTTCCAATGCAAAGGTCCCCCGAGTTCGAACCCCGGCTCATGGCAGAAAATTTATTTATCTGTTTCATTGGCCGTGGGGCTACCTTGGGTCAGAAGTCCCTCCTGGGGCACACCCAGCCTCTATAAAATGGGTACCCTTAATTAAATAATCGATTAAGGGGGAAAACCTGGCGGTTGAGCGTGATCTCGGTCAAATCACCTCCTTGCACAACCGTTGACCTAGAAACAGTGCTTTCCCTAAATAGTACTGAACCCTAGACCCTTCATGGGTTGTAGTGGTACAGGTTTTTTTTTTTTTTTTTTATTAATTATTATTAATAAAAATTAATTATTTTGTATTATTAATTATTATCTCGGATCATGTATCAGAATGTATTGACTATTGCCTATGGCTAGGTTGTGAATTCTGGAGTATCGGAATGGATTATTTTGGAACGGTATCGATAATTCGGAACAGTTTTCTTTTGGGGAATGGAACAGGTGTACTAAAGATGTAGTCACTTCTATTGTGTGTACTATATTACAGTAAGACAATTGATATAGTGAGACAATCACAAAATCAGATTTATATACCTGACAGTACTTTTGACGGTAGTCATTCCGATCATTCCATATCAATTTAACACAAGATCTAAACCTTACCTCACCAAGTGTGTGGCCGGTTAGTATCTATTAATTTAAATTTATAGTGACATTTTTGATAATTCCTTTTCACAAGCAACTGAATCCATAGAAATCTTTTTGAATTGTTATGTAGTTTTAGGAATGAACAAATGATATTGTTGTGTTCTTTTAAAACAAATTTTCAAGAATTTATTGAAAACAAATTGAGAAAACGAGGCAAATGATTTGAGTATTAAAACCGTTACTTACTGATGTGTATCTTAAACAATACTCCATCCGGTTCGCTTCCAAGCAAAAATTTAGGTTTTACATATTTGATGTTTCTCTTTTCGAAGAATGAATATATGTTCCTAATCATGCAATAAATTAAAATGCACACAGAGGATGTTGCTATCAACAAGTCAGTTTTCCAATCATTTGTAACGAGTCCCATGGTTGAAGCTGAAACAGTATCATGTAATATATTATTTATTTGATTATATTTTAGGTGCCGTGTGCAACTATATAGGTTAGAGGCATCTTATTGATTATTGAATTACATTTCAATATGTCTGTAGTGATCGTGTAGTATCTTTTTTTGTGTGTGTGTTGTTAGGATGTTTGTTTAAAGAACCTATAATATAGGAGCAACACCCAGCTGCATAGGTTATTTCTAATTTATGTTGTGATTTCGTGTATGAAGATGGTATTGTTTAAATATGTAATTGTGTTTTTTCAGAAATTGAAGTAAGTGCTTCTGATTTTGTTGATATCCTAGCAGGTGATACGAACGAAGTCCTTGACCAAAATTTGCTCCGATGATCCTACTTAATAATTTCAATGAAGAAACATATTAATTTTGCAAATTAAATTTATTTTGCAATGAATGATTAAATTTTAATTTTTTTAACCATTATCTATGGAACAGAGCTACACACTGGAAAATCTTGCTTATGTTTAAAATCTGATATATACTTATATATATAGTGTGTGTGTGTATTTTTATCAATTCTTAATATATCTAATATATTTTGTTAAACTTTTTACTACAAAAGAATCTTCAAAAAAGAATTTCTATTTAGTCATTTTTTCCTAAGACATCCATATTCGATCTGATGTTGATACTGAATAATATGTAAAAGCATTAATATTTTTTTTTTTAATTTTTATAAATCGACTTAGGTATAATGTTTTTTTTTTCATTCCATTATCCTAGACTTGTCGATGAAATAGTTGGAAAATTTCATATTTTTTCCAAACCTCTCTATAAATTGTGATACTAACGTTACTGATTAAAAACCCTGATACAATTTTTTTTTTTAAAACTATGTTAATTACATAGAGATCGTGTATTAATAACAGAATAATAACTATAATAAAAAACTAATACGTTTTACATATTATTATACAAATCCGAATGGCACTAATAACCACACTTATTTTAACAAACTTTAAGCATCATCACTGAATGGAATGCTCTTAATTTTATCTTTAGATCTTTGGTGTCTTCGTCTTCATCTGAAGATATCGTCAAAGCATGGAAAAATCATCGTTTGTAGTTAGGCGAGATGTTTTTCTGCTATGAATGGTTCTGAAATATTTGTACTCTTTATTCATACTTTTTGAGCTTTTTCAGAAACGGTACCGATGGATGGAGCAGTGTTCATTAGTCTGTTTTCCTTGAAAAAAGATTCAATGCTCAGTGGTAGACAATTAGCACTACGGATAGATGACAGTGTCGTCTGCTACTGCACGTCTTGCATCTACATTGAATTTCAATGGACCAATATTACAGTGACAATCAAGGACCTCCGAAATCGGAAAAATTATCATCAAACTTTTTTATGATTTCGGAACTTCAAGCAGAAAAAATCAAAGAATAATAAAATATAAGATAAGTATCAAAGAACAGACCTCTTTGCTACTTTTTGCATCATTATAATTCTCCGTTTTCAGGTACTGTAATAAATTTGCTTCATCCACAATGGAAATCTGTTCGGAATTACAAAGAATATCGAACCAATCGCTCGGTTCCTTTAAATATTCTACGATACTGTAAATGTAAAACTTGTATCCTATATATTATTTCTAAAAGGTGTTTTTTAGTCGTTACATAACTTCGTCAATTCTTCATCAAATCCAATGATTGACCACTCATTTTGAAGATATTCTTCTCCTTCACATGGGAAAAATAGTCATATCCTCCCGAAATTGAAAAAAAGGCATGAAGAAAGAGAAACTTTATTTGCGAATAACTCAAAAAGTATGCATTTTTTTTTTTATTGTACCCATAATAATTGGAAAGATAACTAAATTACCCACAAAACAAAAAAAAAATCGTAAAAATTATTAATAAAGATACTGTCCATTAGTTTTGGTATACTTAATAATGTCTTCCATTTTAAAGATATTGCATTTAGGAGTAGAATAGTTTACTACACTTTTTTTCCTGGCAGATATATTAACTTTATAATTTCTTAAAGGTATTTGGTTGTTCTTACATTTTATTTTTTTAATAATTTAGAAAATCCCATCAGGATGATTTGATTTTATTACTTTTCTTATTTTTCTAGTCAGCGTTTAAAAATAGGAAAGCAATTTGTACAAATATTTTGGTCTATTATGTTAAATGGAATATTGTAAGCGACCAAGGAAAAAATATTAATTCCTTCCTCACACAATACATAGGATTACTTATTTCCATATTGTAGCGCCAATAAATAAAAAAATAATTCCTTTTACAACTGTATATTTCATATTTATTTTATTATAATAAACAATTATGTGCCAGGAAATCGTTTGAGTCCGACTGATAAAGAAGAGTGCCACTGATAAAGAAGGCCGCTATATTTATTTATATTTAATTGTGATAATTTGGTTTGTTTAAGTATCGGCATATATACAAACTTTAATTTTTATTGCGCTGTAATCTATAGAATTAAATATTAAATAATACAAACGGTAGCATTTATGAAAATCGCTTATGTTTATATATATAATATTGTCAGAGTCCGTATTATATTAAACTCATGTTATGTATGGAAGCCTTTTTAAATATTTCTAGTATGAGCTTGGGCGCGCTCGTATCCTTTGGTTCACCTATTACAACTATTCTCCATTACTATCTCTTATGTTCTTCTTTAGTTAATAACCAAATTCTGTCATATTTTATATTTAACTATTTCTTATATCAGAATTGTGAAATGGTTAATTATTTCATATCAAATAAAATTAAAGGTACTTTAAAGATACGCGAGCGCGCTCACACATAAACACTAGCACGCAAACTGCGAGACCAAGACCGATTTTGGGCGACACTAGTGATATGCTTGCGCAGAAGGGATTCGTGCTTCAATAAGTCCCTTTCGACAGTTCTAGGCCATTCCAAAAATCTAATGTCTTTAAATATCCGCCGATAGGTGCTAGGTGAGAAAACTGGGGAGGAAGGTTGCCGATAACTGAGGTTTTTACCTTATTTACTCAATTCACTCTTACCTGGACAGATTAGATTTACGGATCGCAATAAGCTACTGAGCCTCCAAGTTGGTATCAAGAATCATCATGCCTAGTTGGACTGGATTCTTTGTCCCTAAATTGAATTGAATAAAGAGAAGATTTACAAAGAAAAAAAATTGCTGTTCTTATCTATATGGAAATAATAACCCATTGTGTAAATGTCAATTGTTTTAAGTCTTAATGAGTCTGGCGCAAACGAAAAATACGACACAACAGCACGTATTGGTAATATTGTGAACATCTAAATGACTAAGAATATTTGTCTCCTAAATTAGACTTTTTTATTTTTATTTCTGTTTTCATAGCGCTTAAAAATGTTTATATGTTATTGAAAACATTGCATTCAAATTTTAAGTCCTTGCAAGATTTTGAAGGATGATTTACATTTATTTTTGAGTGAAAACTTCTTTGGGCGCATTTCGCATTTTTTTGTGGAGAGTGAATTAGATTGAGCCGTCAGATCTCAGATGTGTAACACTCGGGAAGAGTCAGCTGAAGTCGACTAATTGAAGTGTTTTTGCATATGGATTAAAATATCTCAAAAACTAAAAATCGGACCTGCATAATGTAAGTGAGGAAATCGTTCAGCATTTCATCTTCTCTATAATGAGCTATAATTCAAAATTGCATCTCTATACAGTACTTTCTATACAAGCAAAAAAAAATCACAACTAGGGGAAATAAATACAGTATGGACTCGAAAACTACTATAAGCAAATATTCTAAAATCAATTAATTTATAATTAAATTACTTTTTTACAGGTAGTACCTGTAATATGGGCGGGGTGGCCGAATGGGCTAACGAGTGTGCACAGCACCGCCGTTGCCCGGCAACCCGACATAAGAGACAATGATGAAAAATAGTTCCGAGTTCGCATCCCGGTGCCGGTACACGGTGGGCCAGACCCCCCTCCCCCCCACCGTGCATCCCCCCTTCCCACATCCCTATAAATTGCATATCGTTGTGTTCCTTGTGACAATTTATTAAAAAAAAAAAGCCAATATTCCCACAATTCAATGGGCTAACGAGTGTGCACAGCACCGCACAATATTCCCACCAGTTGACACCTTGATAACTGCAGCCTGCCATAATATTTCAACGGAGTGCTTGGAAGTGGTGGTGTGATTGTCTTCACAACGATGGCTTTTGTGATGAATTCCTCGTTGCCGAAACGTGATTGCAGAGTGCATTTAATTGATCCGTTTGGCGTCACGACTGGATTACCACCAACACCAGCGATGCTAATGTTCAAAAGGGTGATCTTGAATCCAAGTTTATCTACCACGGCTTGTGTGATGAAGGAGTACTGGCTTCCGGAATCTATTACTGCGCGGATAGTGTGCAAACTGTGCTCAGGGCCCAAAATGTTGAGCTGAGCCGTTCCTAGTACATAATAGGATTCAGTGTGATGGTGTTGGGAAGTTGAGCCAAATCCTGCAAAATGTGTAGAGGGAGGAGTGCTGCGTTAATTTGATTTAACATCATGCAGTAGGCTGTGAAGCCGGCCTTACAGAAGCGGCAGGTAAACTTTGATTTGCACTCAGATGTCTTATGATTTTGAAGAAGACAATTATTAAAACATTTTAAACCGCCTTTACGTTCTTTTAAGTATATGTTACAAAAACTGAAAAAGCCGGGTAAATCATGTTGGTCCTTGCAGTACGGACAACATCGTGGTGGAGTTTGATGTATAGTTATGGAGTAGACAACGGTGAATTGAAGCTCTTAGGAGAATTGCTGGAATTTTTGTTAGGTGGGCTTTTATTATGTAGGAAACTCGGAGTTCTGTACTTTGGTGACCCACGACTTAGAAACTGAGTGCTGGTACTAAGTTAATGAACCTATAACCTATAACTAAAAATTATAGGAACGACGATCGATGGGGTGTCTAGTACGTTGCCATAATAATCTGGCGCGGCGTTTGGTATGGATTAGGTCTATGAGGTGTTGAGGTAACTTATTTTTCTTGGGAGTTCTTGAGGAGTGGTTTGGAGAGGAAGCAGTCCAGATTGCTTGTTGGATAGTGGTGGTGAAAAGGTGTACGGCATTGTCAAGGTCATCTGGGGTTTTTAGGGTTATTCTGAGGTCAATTTTATCGGATAGGATTTGGTGATAGAGTTTCCAGTTAACTGGGCCTCTGATGAAGGACGGTGGAGAAGACTTAGGAATAGGAGCAAGAGATAATTGGAGTAATAATGGACTATGATCTGAGGATAGTTCGGCAAGACGGGTAAGGGAATGATTGAGGGGACCTAAGCCACTGTGGATGAAAAAATCAAGGATATCGGGATTGCGGTTAGGATCTGTGGGCCAGTAGGTAGGTGACTTAGGAGGAAGGATACTGAACCGTTGGGAATTGAGTGCAGATAAAAATGTTCTGCCACGAGAGTTCGTGGTTCTAGAACCCCATTGATGGTGTTTGGCGTTTAAATCTCCACCCAGGATGAAATTATGACCTAAGGAGTTGAGGAGAGAACTGAACTGGACTTTGGATATGGATCTGTTAGGAGGGCAATATGCTGATGCAAGGGTGACTGGAAAGGAGAAGGTTTTGATTACAATAGCGGTTGACTGTAGGAAATCTTGAGTGGGTAATGGGAGTAAGTGATGGGAGAGGGATTGGTGTACGATGACAGCAGTACCGGCATGTGCTCTGCCGTCAGGATGGTCAGTACGGTAGGTTAAATACTGTGGGATTTTCAAATGCTGTTTTATGGTCAGTCGAGTTTCTGTAATAAGGGCTACGTCAATGTTCTTGTCTTGTAGTAAAGCTGTTAGTTCGTCAACGTGATTTCTAACACCATTCGCATTCCAAAGGAGAATGGATATGGGTTTTGGGATGTGAGTCATTAAGGATTTTTCAAAGGAGGGATTAGGTGAGATACGAGATTTGTAAGGAGTGATATGAGTGGAGTAACTAGGGATTTGAAATCGGTGAGGAAAGATGCTAACAAACTGGTGAGATCTGTTGCATTTGAAGGAGGAGGAATTTGAGGTTGTTGATGATTATGTGTGTTAGGATGAACAGAATATTGAGGTTGGGGCTGAGGTAGTTGCTGCGACAGGGCTTCACATGTATTATTGGTGTTCTTACCTCCAAGTAGTTCGGAGTATGATAAATTATTATTAACTATTCTAGAAGGTTATCTTCTTGGTCTAGTTGTCTCATCTTGAATCCGGTTCTTCTGGTATCTGGATTTGAGGCTCTTATAGGTTTGGCAGCCTTTGTAGTTGGCCGGGTGTCCCTCCTGGCATAGTGCACACACTGCAGGATCTTGTATTGGTTTGGTGCACTCCACAGATTTGTGCTGTTCACCGCATTTCACGCAGCGCGGCAGGTGGTGACAATAAGTTTTCGTGTGGCCAAACGCCTGACAATTGTGGCACTGTACAATTTCCTTCTTGGGGTATGGCTTCTCTATCTTCACGATAGTGTAGTACAATCTCTTGATGTCATATATTTTTTCAATACCAGGTGATGGCTCTAGATCCACGAAAAATAAAGGTAGTGGAACCTTATTACTTACTCCTGGCTGCTCCTTATTCTCCTTCAGAACGTTGGTTACCTGACGCACTTTGAAACCAAGCGTCGCTAGTTCTTCTTTTATAACTTCAGTTGGGGTTGAGGAGTGTAAATTTCTTACCACCACTCGTAGCGATCTCTCCTGTTTCAGCTGGTATGTGTGGAAATTTGCATTCGTTTCGGACAGGTACTTCACAATTTTTCGGTAGGTTTCTTCAGTATCTGGTGTTATTTTCGTATCGTTGGTCCTATTGAACGGTAAAATTAAATTAACTAAAACACAAAATAATACTTCACTTGATGAAATAAAGGGCAAAAAAAAAATGTTTAAACATAATTATGACTTTTATTTATTACATTTAAAGCAGCAAACGTCTATAAAGGTCTAAATCGGTTGACTTTCAAGAGAAGCCCATCTAGATTTTTTAATGACCAACCGCTTCCCTTCATTGCCATCTCTTCCATCTCACTCACCATCTTCACATACATCTCACTAAGAGAATCCAAAATTGAAGAGACCTCGTACACCGTAATGTTTTTGGTTTTGAAGGCCCGATCACACGTTTCTCCTTTAACATTTTCGTATGTGGCCTCCAAAATCATATTGAATTTGAGAGGAGACTCCGATTCCGACAAAACTTCTGATATCAGTCTACGTAGAGTGTCTGTCTTACTGCTAAGAAATTCCGCTACATCAATGGATTCATAACATGGAAGGAAAAAGGTCTTGAGATCCCCTCCAAAAGCTGTCTCGATCTCATACAAATGTCCTACTGCCGCCTCCAACCGCCTTCGCTTCGTCATAACGAGTGGTGTTTTTCTTTGGCAACAACGTACATGTTTCATACACTGCTTTTGAGATTGAAAAATCTCACCGCAGTAAACGCATTTGCGCCTTGGCAGCGTAGTCTGGCATGAATTTTCATGACGAAGTTTAGCCATCTTCCTACTAAATTGTTTATCGCAATACTGACATTTGTTCATTGCTGATATTATAAAATAAGTATTTAATGAAATACACAACCACCTTACTTTTAGGAACACTGAATGAGGAAAAGCTTCGAAAAAATAAAAAAAAGGTTCCTATTTATAGACCGGCTTGTTTATATTTTCAGGATTTAAAAGACAAAGTCCATGTTTACGTGTTAAGGAGAACAATAAGAGATTACAGCTCCACAGTCCATTGTTTATACTCAGATAGAGATTAAGAAGACCTAAGAGGTTGTCTATATTTTAAGGATTGCAGGGCCAAGGTCCATGTCTCTGTACGAAGGGGAACAATTAGAGATAAGGGATGAAACATCCAAAGTCCATATTCACATACCGATAAAGACTCTGTGAGATTTGCATAATTTCAAAGTTCACATTTACACATTGACGAGAATTCTATGTGAGATTATTAAAAGATCAAAATCCATATTTTCACATCAATAAGGATTCTATTTGGAACTTTGATCAGCGAGACCATCGGGCATAGCCAGAAGGAACTTTAAGTTTTGTGAAATGTAAATATTCGGAGGAACTAGCTGGGAGGAACTTTAAGTTGTGCAATACATAAATATTAGATATGTCAAATAAAATGTTTGGATTCGGGAGTTGGGCAAGTTCAGTCTTTATAGCGTAGATACGTTAGCCTTCAACGGTTTGGAGGAGCTATAAGTCGGAAGACTCTTGTAAGGCACACTCAGTCAGTATAAAGTTAACTACTGAAATAGGTAGCTGATCAATCAAAGGATTGGAAGATACACGTAATGGTTAAGTAAACAAGATGGCTGCTATGAAAATGTTTATTAGACTTTTGGAAATACTCAGCATCCACAAGGTGGGTAACTGACCCTTCAGTGGATTGGAAGATGGATTCCATTAATAGTAAATATTACAGCTCAGAAAACATGTGGAGTCGGGAGACTATAGTGTCAATACCTGGCCCTTCAAAACATTAGGAATATTACATAACATGTAATTTATATTCTCAAATGGATTTATATTACTAATACATACTACCGTACTCTAGCAACACTTACAAAAATATAATAAGTGCTTCACCCTATCAAATATTAGAAAAATTAAATATAATATAAATATTGAGGAGGTTATGCAGACATTAGATGGGTTTAGTAAACATCGGGAAGTTTACAAAAATGTAAACATGACAGAGACATCTCCAACCGGATCAAAACCTCGGAGCTGGTGCTGTATCTGCTAGGTAAAAATATGAGGGAGTGTGACCTAATGCTCATGTGGCTACAACGGGGATGTGGTTGGGTGTTCATGATTAGGTTGAAGTACAAAAACGGGAGTGCGCTAAGAATATTTTAATTCTAATGCAAATGTGGCGCACTTATCACGTGACCGAATTCTGGCTCGCAATAGTTTCATTAAATCGTGAAACGAGTGTCGCATCCTACCGGACTCCTTACGAATTACTGTAAGTGCTACTTCCAGACGGAAAATGAAAAAAAATAAATAAAAGATAGAGAATTAAATGTTAAAAGTCCATTGTTTACAGTTCGATAATGATTTAAGGAATGGACCAAAAACGTCCAATCTTTTAAGGATTAAAAGGGCCAAGTCTATGTTTACGTGTAAAGGATAATAATAAGAGATAAGGAAATAAATACTCAAGTCCATTGTTTACAATTATATAGGGATTAAGAAGACCTACCAGGTTGTTTATATCTTATATATTAAAGGGGCCTAAGTCCATCCGCTATCTGCGTAATTGAATTATGTGTAGTGTTTACGTACCTAAAATTACTTGTAAATATTCCAATACGAAATCTCCAGAGGCCGTTTACATTATTACTAACACGTAGACTTCCTGTGAAAAATCAATATTATAATAAAAAGCAGCGAGGTTACTGCAGAGTTATAAAGGTTGGGATGGAGGGAAGAGCGCTAGATTTCCCATAAATATAATACTTGGATAGGGATTAAGAAGACCTAAGAGGTTGTTTATATTTTAAGAATTAAAGGGGCCAAAGTCTATATTTACGTAAAAAAGGAGAACACTAAGATATAAGGGAATAAATGCTCAAGTCATTTGTTTATACTTAGATACTGATTAAGAAGTTGTTTACATTTTGAGGATTCAAAAGGGCAAAGTACATGTTTACGCGTGAAGGAGAACAATAAGAGATAAGAGATTACAGGCCCAAGTCCTTTGTTTATACTTAGATAGGGATTAAGAGGTTGTTTATATTTTAAGGATTAAAGGGGTCAAAACCCATCCGCTATCTGCTCAATAGAATTATGTGTAGTGTTTACATACCTAAAATTACTTACAAATATCCAAATACGAAATCTCCAGAGGTCTTTTACAGTATTATAATAATAATAAAAGGCTTAGCGAACCCGAAGGTTTGATGCCGACACCACCAATCGCCCACTACACACCTCCCTCCACCGTTCGCCGTCCAAATCCAGTCCCTTCAAATCGGTTTTAATGCAATCTTCCCACCTTCGCTTCGGTCTACCCCTCGGACGCTTACCATTCGGCACCGCACATATTAACCTTTTAGGAATTCTCTCGTTACTAAGCCCAACAACTTTACAAGCCCATTTGATTCGCCGCGATGAAATTACCTCAATTATATTACCCGGATACAGCTCACGCAATTCGGCGTTGTGTAACCGTCTGAACTCTCCGGTTAACTCATCCTTCTTCGGTCCGAATATTCTACGCAATATTTTATTTTCAAAAACCTTAAGACGCTGCTCATCCCTTAATGTAAGCGGCCATGTTTCGCATCCATAAAGAACTGTAGGCAAGATAATTGTTTTATAGATTCTAATTTTTAAGTTTCGGGACAAGAGGCGCGAACTAAGTACACTCAGCCTCTTTAAGGGAGGGGTGGGGGGGAATATGAGGGTCACAGGATCGAAAAGGGAATCTCGTGACGTCATAGGAGATGCAAACCTCGTAAGTAGATGAAAAGAAGATGGCGGTCGGGTACACTCAGCCTCTTAGAGAGAGGGGTGGGGGGAAAATATGAGGGTCACAGGATCGAAAAGGGGCGTGACTGGTGGTCACGTGACTGACCACGTGGTGGTTAAGGCTGGTTAGAGGTCCTAAAAGGCAGCGTGCCGTTGTTTAAATTCAAATTCAAACTTCCCGCCATGATGACGTCACTGAAATCCTGGCTTCTGATTGGCTGTGCAAATCGGTGTGCCAGCTCCCCCATTTCTTCTCTACTACTATTATCTATATAAATAAAAATGTAAATGTTCGTTTGTTCAAAACCACCAATTTCCTAAATTTCTTCACCGGTTGCTTTGAAATTTTGACATAAGGTTTCTATCAGATGTAGAAGTGTTTTTATATAATTACCGTCGAAAAGGCGTCCGAAAAACGTGAGTCGCTGTAGACTCTAGCGCCTAAATGACTGTAGCGATTTGAATTAAACTTGGATAAAGTCTTCTCCTTGAAGCTCTCTTAATTTATGTATATAACATGCTTCCCCGAAAAGAGTATGAAAAAAAAAAAGTTACGATGGATTCAGAATTATATTCACGAATAATTCAAAAAGGTACAATTTTTGTTCGACCATACTCATGATTATTTGAAAGCTTCCTAAATTATCTGCGAAATGATAAAAAAAAAATAAATAAAAAAATACAAAAATGGGACGATTTGTTGCAGAGATATAATTTTTTAACCATTTAGTACTTTTTCTTCTGAGATTTAGAGACGGATTGCTTCTCACAAAGTTTTCCTAAATGTTTTCGTTTGTATTATTTAATATTAATTGTATAGATTACAGCGATATAAATATTAAAAAAAATTTATATATATATATATATGGGTACTTAAAAAAATAAAAATATCCACAATTAAATATAAATAAATATAGAATATTTAATAGTTGACCGTTGCGTTATAAAGGAAGGAGATGGTCAGTGATGGCGGCCATAAAGAGGCTAAATAGTTTTGCCACTATTTATGACCTCCACCCCAGACCATCTCCTTCCTTTATTAATAAATATAGTGTTTATAATTTTTACTTTTACTTCCCCTTTGTCTGAAACTACTTATTTCTGATAAGAAGAGGGTGTGTAAGTGAAAGATGTGTGATGCGCGCACCGCACGAGTTTTTTTTAAACTATGAAAAAAAAAGTAATTAAAATCCACGGAATCATGCCAATGCCATTGTTTAAAGTGCTATTTAATTGTACTTGTGTGAAAGAATAAGTGAAATATAAAAATATTTCATAGATATATCTATAACCTTAAATACTTTTGCTGTAGTTTAATAACTCTAGATATGATGTTATATTTAAATAATTAGGTATCTATCGGTCGTTTATCCCAAAAAATTAAATTAAATTAAATTAGTAAATAATTTGATGAATTTTCCCTTTGTGAAAAACCAAAATTATCCACTTACAATTAGTGTGGCAACTTTTGACCTATCCATGACAGGCAATGAAAATTTCGTAATTTCAGTTAACTTTACAATGATATAAGATATAAACTTATAAGATAAGATGAATATAAGTGTATAACTTGTAATATGAGATGAAAACTTCAAATCTTCAAAACTGTTTCCTGTGGCAAGAAAGCGCAGTGTAACTGCTAGTCTATCTGCTGGTAAAATGGCTCCCCTCATCACCTTATCTTTTTTTTTATTAATGGTAAAACTAATGTAACTAAATTACCAAACAATTCTTCATCCATTCTCAAAAAATTGCGATAATCATTCGGAATTTCATTTAGTTCTCGGAATAATTCCCCATGCCCATGACTAGGACGCTTCACTAACCCCCGCTGATCTACATATTTCTTTGTCTTCTCTTATTTTTTAATGCTAAAGCTATTGCAATTAAAATGATAGGAACTTCACTGTTATACATTTCCTCAAAAACGAAAGGTTACCTCTTTGGAAATCTACTTCTTTGGTGGAAGCAAGATCTATATAGTTCTAACGTGAGCCGCGGGAGGTCGTTCTGCAGATTTTAACCTCCTTTGAATCACCCCGCGCATTTAAGTAACCATTCAGTAACCTTTGAATGTGTGAGTGCTTCATATTTTTTATGTATCTGTGTTTACTTAACTTTTCTGTTTAAAAATAAATATGGATTTGATAGATTTCGACGATTTGACAGATGACGAAGATTTTCTTGATTTAATTGCGCTATTTTTAAAGGAAAAGAAAGTATTTCGTCCTCGAGTGACCCATTTTCTTCGTTGGTCAGATGAAGAATTTTTCGATAGATTTAGACTCTCTAAAGAAACTGTTCAATTTATTTTAAATCTAATTAAACCAGCCATTTCTAACCTTACCAATAGAAACCATGGAGTAAATGCAGAGCTGATGCTATTGACCACATTGAGGTATGTAGCTTGATATAATATATTTTATCCTTTGATGCTTAGCTAAGTTAAAAAATATATAATGCTATTTTTTTGTTAGGAAGCTGTTTAAATTTCCATGAATTAAATTAATATATTAAAATGAATGCATGTTACCGTATCTGTCAATGTTAATGTTGTTACATATTTGTTATATTTACTAAGTACCACGTTTGTTCCTTTGTTGTAATTTAAAGTTTGTCATTATTTATAAAAGTAATATCTGGTGCAACTACATTATGGGACTAATAATTGGGGTTCTGTTAGGTACTTAGTGTTTGTTATCGACTTTTGTACCTGATTGTTTGCTATTTTTCAGTTGATATTTGTATAAATGTTGGATATATTACAGTATTTAATTTTGTTTAAAATGTCTGAATAATGTGTTCCTAAATGTGTAGTATCTGTTTTGTAGTATATTGTTATTCTATTGTTTTTTGTTATGTCAATAATTCACTCCAATTAGCTAACAGACACCCAATTATTAGTCCCATAATGTAATTAGTCCTCCACTCCAGATATTACTTTTATATATAATAAACAATTTTAAATTATAACAAAGGAGCACATGTGATGTTAAAACAAATAAATATGTGCTCAGGTAAATATAACAAATATGTGACAACCTTAACATTGACAGATATTGTAATATATATTCATTTTAATAAATCTTTTTTCTAGCCATTAAAATGCAGGTGGAACTTGAAATAAATTATAGCAAATACAAAATTAGCTATATATTGGAAGTTTTTATTGCCAATAAATCATGTTCTATTTTTTAAAACCTGAAATTGATTGTGGTAGTAACTACAGTGTAAATAAATAAATAATGCTGACATTTTATGTCTGATTTTTATATAATTTTATTTAATGTAGTTGTACCAATAATTTGTCGATATAATCTGTGATATTTCTTTCAGATATTATGCAACTGGGTCATTCTTAAATGTTTGTGGCGACTTCAGTGGGTTGCACAAATCAACTGTATCTAGAATCATAAACAAAGTTTCAAGAGCTATTGCTTCATTGAAAAATAATTACATATACATGGTTAAAGATGAGGATGAGGAAAGGAGAGTAAAAAGAAGAATGTTTGGTATTAGTGGTTTTCCTAATTGTATTGGAGCAATAAACTGCACTCATATCAGATTGCAATCTTCAGGTAAGAACTGCAATAATTTGGCATTTTATAACTAGTATACTTTATTATTTTATAGTAACGTTTTATTAACATATAATATAAACATTTATTTCATTACTTTTAATGTAATAGATCCAAATCACTAAAAAAGCCCCTATGCACATTTTATGAATAGAGTAAAAATTTAATTTATGAAGACGATGAACAATTGCAAATACTAGAATATAACCAACAATCTATCTAATTAATAATAAATAACATATTGAAAAAATGTATGTATTTATCCTTAGAGATTATTTACTTCAATTTGAAATCTTATTTTAAATAACTATCCTTGTCAAAGATTTAGGGAAACTAGATAAATTATTAAAAAGTACATCTTACATTACCTATTGATAATTAACTAGTTGGCCAGTATGAACAATTCACACAGTATATTGGTCAGTGATCGAATGAAAAATTAATAAGAAAATAAAATGTATCTTAAGATGGAGAAATCAATTCTGATTTTCTAGGTAATTATATTTGACAGTGGAATGGACAAATGGAAATTAATTTAAAACTTCATTCATGTTTTGAACCAACATGTATACAAATTTTAATAAGTAGCATCTTTGCTATTAGTATTCCAATTTCGATGTTTTTTTTGTTTTTTTTCGTTTTGTAGGGAATTCAGTAATCATTTAAATAATCATTGATTTAATCAATAAAAAAAAATATATTATATTATTATTCACAAATAAATTTCCTTTCCCTTCATAATAATTCCTGAAATTTTTTGGGAAGGTGTTGCTACTGAAGGCCAGTGAAACCATCATAATAATGGCACAATCTTGGGATTTGATGAAGAATTAACAAATATATGGCTTACCAACCAAAAACACCTTTGATAAATAATATAAACTCCTCTCTTGATCATAGGAACCCCAAGTTGACGACAATTGGCATGTATCCCATGGGAGCACTACAATTAATATGAGTTTATGTGGCTGTGAACCCTTTGCCTTGTCTCAAAAATGGTATATTTTGGGGTTGAAAATGCAGGGAAAATCTTTATATTTCAATTTGTCCCACATTGATCTACTGACTTAAACGCCATTCTAGTATTAGCGAAATGTTTTCATCAACTTTATTTGTTTTAGAAACCAAAACAAAAGCAGAGAGTTTGATTCAGTAATCTTCCTCTCTCTCCATCCCCGTAAAATTCTGAATCCATCAGTACTCCATTCATGTCATTTGAGCATGACAGGAGCTTATATTTGGTATAAAACCCGATTTCCAACAACACCCACCAAAAAATTAATTATTATTTTATACTTTTCAGGTGGTGACCAGTCACAGATTTTCCGTAACAGGAGAGGATTTTTCTCTCTAAATGTCCAAACAATTAGTGATGCTGATTTGAAAATAAGAAATATTGTCGTTCGGTGGCCTGGAAGTACTGACGATGCAACAATATTTCACAATTCAAATATCAAAACCAGGTTCGAGTCAGGAGAATTTAGAAGGTCTGTTCTGGTAGGAGATGAAGGATATATTTTAAAAAATTACCTCTTAACTCCTTTAAAAAACCCTAAAATAGAATGTGAGTACGAATTCAATGAATGTTTGATTCAAACGTGGAAAGTTGCTGGGCGTTGCTATAGGGTTTGGAAACGCCGTTTTCCTGTATTAGCTAAGGGATTAAGAATTAAACTTTCAAGTGTGGAAGCGATAGTCGTTGCAACTGCAGTATTGCATAACATTGCATGTAACATGAATGAAAAAGTACCTGAAGTGGATGCAAACACAGCGTTAAAAATAGAACAACAGCAGTTCCACTACGATATTGCAGAATATTCAGAAAATAAAACAGCTCGGGAACCGTTTATTAGTTATTTTCAACGTGCATTGGATACCATTTAGCTATTTATTTTCTCAAAAGAAGAATAAAAATTATTGAATTTATTTGAATTTTTTTGTCGGGATGAAAGGCAATGAGATGACAGATAGCATGGCCAAGAGAGCTATCAAAGAGGGTGAACCAATCATCACCACTCAACCTCCTGAAGTTGTCTCTTTAATCCAAGAAAAATCATGGTTGGCTTGGCAAAGAAGTTGTTCTGCCACTAGAGACAAGCTAAGGGTTGTGGAGCCTTATGTCCGGAGAGTCACTTCAAATATGCTGACCAGAAGGGAAGAAGTGGTACTGACCCGGCTAAGAATTGGACATACTAGGCTTACCCACGAGTATTTAATGAGGAAAGACTCTCCTACTCAATGTATTTTCTGCGGGGTACCTCTTACAGTGAACCATATCCTATCCGAATGTTATGCATTCCAACCTCAGAGGAATCAACATCTTTTCAGAAATAGCCTTGAAGAATCACTTCAAAAAGACTCCAATGCTATTAAAAACTTAAGGAAACCAAATTTTTCACAAAATGTAATCACATCTTAAGGAAACCAAATTTTTCACAAAATGTAATCACATCTTGTAATTGTAAAGTTAAGTTTTTAAGCTGTAATTGTATAATTGTATTTAATAACTTTAATTGTAAAGTTAAGTTTGTAGGTTCCTCTTCAAATTGTAAATATACCCGTTAATTTTTCTTCATTTATTCATAATTTTTAATTATAATGGTTTTTCACTTTTCTTCTTGTAATTTTTAATATTTAAATTGTACTATCTAACTTTTCTTCTTTTAATATTAATTTTCTTTTTTAAACTGTATTTTTATATTATATTCCTAAAATCATTAATCTTTTATTTAAATGTTCTTGTTAACTGTTAACTTATCTTTTTCTAATCTTTAATATTTAATTTTAATGGTTCTTGGACTTTTCAATGTTTACACTGTACTCTTTAACTTCGTTTCTAGTAATATTAATTTTTATTATTTAAAAATGTATTTTTTAGCTTTTTTTCTTAAAATCATTAACCTTTATTTTTATTGTTTTTGTTAACTTAACTCCTTTTAAATCTTTAACTTTCAATTTTTATAATTTTAATTCAATTGTACTATCATATTCGTCTGTAACTATTCTAAACTTACCAAACTTTAAATTGTATTTGCTAGCTGTAGTTTTGTTATGTGTGTACTAATTGATCAAATTGTAATATACGGCGAAAATGACCCAGATAGTTGAAGAGCCCAAAACATTTATAAATAAATTTGTTTTTTTCTTATATTTTATTTTATGTCCTTAATGCCTGTTAAGGCCAGATCTATATTTTAATGTTTTTTTTTTTCTCTTCTCTTATGCCAAAGTCTTTGGTCATTTGGCCATACGACATCTTGCAGCCCAGTATAATTTAGAGTTTTTAATATATATATTTAAAATTGTTATGTCCATCAAGGCAGGACATGTGTCTAGATGATCTGCATCCATTGTTTCTTGATGACACAATTTACTACTAGGATCCTCAGCCACGCCTATCTTGCAGAGATGACTATGCAGATAGTCGTGGCCAGTGGCCAGCCGGAAGCAGGCAACTGCATCTCTTCTCAGTAGTTCAGCTGGAATCGGATTATCATTCAAACACTCATAGCGTTTCGCTTCCACTTTGGGGAAATGTGCTTTTTTAATTTCTTCCTTCATTACCATCCTTACCATTCGCCGTATTGAATCGTAAGGTTTTGGATGTATTGGCTGAGGCAAATCTGTTGCTCGCTTGGCAAGACTATCAGCCTCAATGTTTCCCTGAATCCCACTATGGCTGGGAATCCACTGTAGGACCACAGTGCCTCGCAGTGTCAGGTTGGAGAGGAGAGATTTGCATTCCAGTATATCACTTATTAGACATTCATTTGTGTTTGTAACAGCGAGGATGGCTGCTGGAACGTCGATGAAGAGAACACCGCTCTGGTCCCGCCTTCTAGGCAATGTTCATAAGGCTATGAGGGTCTCCGCAATCTCACAGTCGAAATTTGTTCCATCTTTACTACCCACTGCAGCGCTGATTTGAAATTCCCTTGAGTAAACCTCTGCTCCAGCATTTTTAACGGCTGATTCAGCTGATCCATTGGTATAGATATGGAGACAACCTTGATGAGTTTAGTTTTGAGCTATAGTTTCTAGTGCTAATGCTTTTAGCTCATATTGAGGTGTTCCTTTCTTATCCACCTTATGAAGGAGTTGCAGTTCTGTATTGCTTGTGTTCTGAATTGGTAACTGTGGATCTATACATGGTTCCCTTTCTTCGCAGTCAAGCCCTCTTTCTTCAAGTAGTGCCATCGCCTTTAGCATGAAGGATTTTTGTGTCTTGAGCCGTTGAGTGGGGATTTTGTAATTTTTCCAAAACTCCGGGTCCATTCTTTTTATTCCCTCGTGAAGGCATATTGCAGCTCGCTCACGCCGTTTCGAGAGGGGTTCTACTGTGGTCTGCAGTTCCATAGCTATAACAGAGGTTGAGCGCGGTGCATCCAAAATCAAACGCAGAGCTTTGTTCTGCTGGCCGTCCAATCTTTTCAGAAATGCATCTGCCGCAGTACAGATGACCTCAGATCCGGATTCCTGACTTACGTAGGTTTTACATGCAAGGGCATATCCTCGGTGCCCTCCCCCATGTCTCCTCCAACGCGTTTCAGAAGCTTTCTGTTTTCTCCTTTTTCCACCATCTCTTCAATTTGTCTGTTCCAGTTCATTTTTGTATCTAACCTAACTCCCAGATATTTTCCTGCATAGGTTCTTGGCAAGAGAACATTATAGATGATTTCGTACTCTTTGGTTGATAAGTTGAACAGTTGGAACTTAGTTTTCTGCGTATTTACTTTCATTTCATTACACTTGGCCCAGGTAAAACATCTTGCCATTGCCTCATTAATTGCTGCTTCGAGTGCTGTTATGTTGCTACTAGTCGCATATACTAGTAAATCATCAGCGAACAGTAGAACAGATATTCCCTTGAGTACAGCCACTAAGTCATCAAGCATTATATTAAAGAGTGTGCGGCTCAAAACAGATCCTTTTTGTGCACTCATTTAATCGCTTTCTCTACACATTTTACTAATCTGTTTCGCATCCATAAAGAAGTGTAGGTAAGATAATGGTTTTATAGATTCTAATTTTTAAGTTCCGGGAGAAGAGGCGCGAACTAAGTAGTTTTGTCACAGACAAATAACAAGCATTTCCCGCCTTCAGTCTAACCTTAATCTCTTCTTCAATTTCGTTTTTTCTAGTTATCGTAGAACCTAGGTACCTAAATTTCTTTACTTGTTCAAATATATTATCATCTACATCGATATCGCCATTTTTGCAGCTGATCATATATTTTGTTTTATCCGCGTTTATTTCGAGTCCTAGTTCTTTACCGGCTTTCATTAACGTTGTATTTAGTTTTATAGTTTCCACGTCTTCGATTAACAGTACCAGATCATCAGCATAGCCCAACACGGATGTTGTCCCACCCAGATCCAGCCCTTTTTCGGTACGAATTACCTCCCTAATGGCATGTTCTAATGCCAAATTTAACAGGGCAGGCGAAAGGGAAACCCCCTGTTTTAAACCCGAACGAACCTCAAAGTTTTCGGACCGATTATTACCGATTCTAACTTTATTGAGTGTTTCCGTCAAGCTCATCCTGACTAGATTTACTAGTTTTTTTTGGTATTCCCTGCTCGATTAGAATATTATACAGTTTCTGGCGGTCAATAGAATCGTAAGCCTTTTTGAAATCGATATACAGCTGGTGAACAATACCGTGTACTCTAATTTTTTCTCTAATATTTGCCGTAAAGAAAATATTTGATCAATAGTCGAACGATTTTATAGTTTCCACGTCTTCGATTAACAGTACCAGATCATCAGCATAGTCCAGCACGGATGTTGTCCCACCCAGATCCAGCCCTTTTTCGATACGAATTACCTCCCTAATGGCATGTTCTAATGCCAAATTGAAAAGGACAGGCGAAAGGGAATCCCCCTGTTTTAAACCCGACCGAACCTCAATTTTTTCCGACAGATTATTACCGATTCTAACTTTATTAAATATTTGATCAATAGTTGAACGATTCCGTCTAAATCCGCATTGGTAGTCTCCGATAATTTCCTCGGCGTATTCCGTGATTCGACTGGTTAAGATTAAAGTGAATATTTTATAACATACCGGAAGGAGTGAAATTCCTCGATAGTTATTACAATCCGTCCTCGGGCCCTTTTGTGAATCGGAATAAGAATAGATTCTTTCCATTCTTCAGGTAATTTCTCATTCTCCCAGATCTTTTTAACCAACCGATGTATTTTAGAAACTCCAGCTTCCCCGCATGCCTTAATTAGTTCAGTAGGAATATTATCGGTTCCCGCTGCTTTATAAGATTTTAATTTTCCGATAGCTACTTCAACTTCCTCTTCACTTGGTCGTTCTATAAACGGTTCAGTACTCTGGTACTCAGAAGGAGGACACAGATCATAATTTCCCGTATTTAAAATATTGTCAAAGTGGTTCTTAAACTTATTTAATATGTCAACCGAATCGGTCAAAATATTGTTATTTTCATCCCTAATTCCAGACGTTACGGGTCCTAAACATTTACCTGATCTGTTTATCCCTTTGTACATGTATCTTACGTTATTTTCGATTATATTAGTTTATATTTCAATTATTTTATTTTTAAGATACTCCTTTTGTTTATTTTCGAGCAATTTTGTCGTTTCGTTCTTTGAGGTTCGGAAGTATTCCAGATTGTCTTCGCTAGGGTTATTTAGAGCTTTTAATTAAGCGGCTTTTCTTTTTTCGCACATGTTTAAGCAAACTTCATCAAACCACGGTTTATTATTCTTGTTTTCCTTTTTTCATAGACACGAGTTCCCGACCGCTTTAATATTATCCCTGATGTATACCCATAACTTGTCAATATCCTCGTGGTCCTAATTAGAAAGCTCTAAAGCTTCAAACCTATTCTTAACATCTAGCTCGAATTGGGTTCTAATTGATGGATTTTTTAATTTTTCCAAATTAAAATTCTCAAAATTGAAACGGTTTTCATTTCTCTCTTTTATAATAAGTTTTTGTCGAAGTTTCGCGATTACTAATTCATGATCCGACCCACATTCTGCTCCGCGATAAGACCGTACATTAATTATACTGCTTTGCCAGCTATCTTGTATCAAGACATGATCGATTTGATTTCGTGTGAGCGAATCCGGTGATGTCCAAATACATTTGTGAATATTCTTATGTTTAAACGTAGTAATTTTAATTAACAGGTTTTTCGAGACTTTTTATTTATTTATTTCCACCCTCCCATGCCACAACGGCAATACGGGTGTTTGCAATAGTGTGTTTTAGGCATGAATATTTAATAACACACTACTACTAGATATGGACATATATAGTTCTTCTGTTTTATCTTCTTCCTTCTTCTTTCGGCCTAGCTTTCAGAATCTGGAGGTTTTTCGAGACGGCAAAGTTTATCAGACGAATCCCATTATCATTACTATATTCGTGCAAACTTTCTTTATCAATCGTCAGAGCATAAACTTCTTCCCTTCCCACCTTTGCGTTCGCACCAACAATTATTTTCATGGAATTTCGCGGTAGTTTATCATAAACCCATTCGAGTTTATCGTTAAATTAAAATTCACATTTGACTTCATCGTCACTGTCTTCGGTCGGACAATGTATGTTTATTAATGCGATCTTAAACCAACGTCCCTGAAATATAGCTACCGAAATTCTATCACTAAAGAATTGTACGTCCCTCAAAGCGGATAGTAATCTACTCCTAATTAGAAACCCGGGACCTAAACAATGATTCCTCCGTACCAAATAGTGTACTTCCCTTCCCTCATCGAGCCCTCCCCTGGCCAGCGAACCTCTTGCAGAGCCACGACATCCAAATTGTACCCATTTACCTCATTCGCGACCGATTTTAGCCCCTCTGCTGTGTTTAAACTCCTTACGTTCCACGTAAGAATATTTAAATCCCTATTTTTCAACTGCGCCATGAATCCTCTAAAACAGTGCCCACCCGGAGACCCGAACGGAGGTCTAGTTTACCTCCGGATAATGAGCGTTTTACCTTAGGGATATCTATGACTATTTGTGCTGTATGGTGAACTAAAGATATGTGAGTAGGGCGTTCAATTATACGTCACACCCTCCAGCAAGTCTGGAGGGCCTCTCTCATTGTTGGTCAGCGAGTCCATCGGACTTAGCCGGGAAGAATTTCCACCGACCATCC